CCAGCCACAACAACAGCCACAACAGCCACAAGACCAGCCACAAGTAACAGGGCATGAACAGTGACAAAATAATGCTGTTGTGGTTCGTTTGAGTGCGATGTAGCTTGTGACTTGAATTGAGCCTGGAGATCTTGTGTTGGTCTTCTGATGGTCTTGTGCATGATTGGGTCTTGACTATTGTGGATTACGTTAATTAAATAGAAGACGCAATTCTATGAGACATGGTCAAAAGGAGAGCACTGCAGGCACAAAGAACTGTAATGACCATATCTCATACAAGGGTTTGGGCAAACTGGTTTTTTAAAACCATTTTTTAATAAATGGCCGCCATTTCTTAATTTAGAATCTTCATTCCCAACCCCGCTTTTACCATATAGCGCCAAGATCATGTAGTTTAGGAATATCTTAAAACAATTTCAACATGTCACCCAAATTCAGAGAAATTTGCATCTGAAAAAGTGCAAAGGTTTATCTGGACCAGTCTGTATGTTGAAATTTTTAAGCCATTTTATCTAGCCAATTAACAAATCTGAATGCTTTACTTAATGTTTGTAATTGTGTTTACTTTGTAATAAACACTTTAGTCTCCATTTCTGTCTTCTCTTAATGCTAACGGTTGAGAAAGTGAGCTTAATTGATGAGGCACCATTTGAAGAGGATGTAAATTTGTATGAGTATATGTTAAGTGTTTCTAAGTGGTTTGTTATGTAATTACCACTTACGGGTAGCATCCATTTCTGTCATTTCTTAATGCTAAGTGCCCTTTTCTGAGGAAGCATTCTAATATTCTAATAATGCAAATAAGCATTAATTGATGAGAACAAAATGAAAGATTCTCATTTAATGTCAAAGTGACATGAAGAGATTAGTTTTGTCTGTTTGCGGCTAAACTACTCTGCTGTCACTAAAGGCACTTTCAATGTTGGCAGAGTATACATGCAGTCTGCACAATTTGCAATTTCACTAGCTGATGAGAACTCGCCAAGACCACAGCACAGTTATCAGAAAAGGGCTATGGAGGAAGGAATCTCATCGTATCGTGTACTATGTTCTTTTAAACCCTCAAGAATCTTGTCTCGGTTGTTGTCCTATGCTTAATTGGGAAATAACCAAAGCCATGCATCAGGTTTTCCTTTGGCAGCTGTTGCAAGGCGATGTTAAGTTGATCACACAGCAAAAATCTTCAAGCATGAAAAATTGGCAAGAATTTTATGTTAAGTGACTGTTATGCTGCAGCTGCATTTAATTGTGAAACAAGGAAGCCACGTGACAGGTTTTTGGAGAAAACTGTAGCGAGACGATAGGCTGAAGTTAGAACTTTATCAAGTGAGATAACCATTCCTACTCATGAACTCCAACTGGCTTTCATCAGTAATTAGTGTTTACAGAGCAAGCTCTGCCGCACATTACCTTAGATGAAATCACTGCATGAGCAGTATGCAGCAGGCCTAATACTGACTCTGGCTTTAAGCATTTGATGAGCCACTTCGGAGATGCGCACAATTTTCATCTCTACCCAAACTGACAGGTTTGATTGCCTAAGTTTTTTATTGCAGCAGCGCAAACACTAAAGTCTACTATCAAACTTCTTTATTAGGTTCAATTGTGCTGCTATGTGAATGCTACATAGACTAAAGCATGCAGAAACTGATCTTGTGATCTTGGAAGAGGATTGAAGTTGATGCCAAAACAATGTACGAGAGTGAGCAGCACAAGTGTGAACTCACACCCCCCTGCCTTTGCAGCTTCTTGTAACTCAGAGATCATCATAATGGCTTCCGCTGAGAATGCAATGGAAGTCGTTCTGACTGTTACTCCTATGGAAGCAGGATTCAATGTTACAGATACTGATGAAGCCTCGGCCAACTTGCCAAATGGTATAACAACTACGGTCATCATTTGCATGTTTGGTGTCAACTTTATTCTGGTTATGACCGTCAACCCAGTGTGCTTGCTTGTCATCCGACAAATGGCCAACATGCAACCAACAACGAAGAATTTCATGACGTCGCTTCTGGTCAGCAAAATGGGGTACGGCATATTCGTGTTGATCCCAACGATGATAAACACACATCCTGTATTTGCAGAAGGCAGTATTTGGTTTACAGTTTATTTCATTTGTGTTGTCATCTTCACCTTGCAAAGCTTCCTGTCATTGCTTATTTTGACTGTCGATCGGTACCTGGCCGTTGCCTGGTGTCTGCACTACCCTCGCTTGATGACCATCCCAAGATCGAAGATTATTATCTCCATCAGCTGGGCAGTTGGTCTGATATTTGGACTTATATCCAGTGCCTCTTCAGATGCTTTCATAATACTGAACTTCACCTTGATTGTCATCATCTTCATCGGAATTGCCTTAATTGTGACATTGTACTTGCACATTTTGGTGATTGCTCGACGCCAAGCTCGGCGCATTGCCCAGGACAACCAAGCCGTCGCGGGAAACAACGCACCGCAACGAGTCAGCACCAAGTCCTTCACCACAATCTTCATCATCGTTACGGTCTTCTTACTTTGCTGGATTCCCGCTTGTCTTTTTAGCTTTCTTGCTACGTCCGGTGTCAGTGTATCACCTGTTATTTTCGGTGGTTCCCAAGTTCTTTACACAGCTACCAACTGGATCGATGCAGTCCTCTTTTGTGCGAGAAACAAAGAGTTTCAAGAGACTTTGCCCAAACTGACTCGCACCTGTTTTCATGCCATGATGCATAAGTTGAATCGCAATTAAAATCCAAATTTTACTCTTACACCAACTAATTCAAGTTTCCTTTTGTGGTGGCAAGAAATGTTTCAGGTTTTAGTCCTGTATTTGAAAGTGAGCTCATTTGCTTCTGTCTTTAATGCTCCATCAGATAGGGTTAGCCTGGGTATGTGGAGTAGCTTTGAAAAAACACAAAATGAAATGTAACTTCACAAGTAAGAAGTAATTCTGAGGTACAGTGGAATCTCGATAAGTCAAACTCCGATAACTCAAAACAACTGTTGAGTCAAACAAAGAATCCATTCCCTTCAGTAGTATAACAATGATATACACCCCTGCTTAACTCAGAACTCTACTTAAGTCAAATTTTGAGGTTTGACTTAACGAGATTTCACAAGACTTTACGAGACCAACCAACACAAGACTGCAGAGCCAAGACCAATTGTAGAGTGAGCCCAAGACCAGCCGCCAGACCAGCCGCAAGTAACAGGGCATGAACAGTGACAGAATAATGAATCTGTTGCTGTTCATTTGAATGTGATGGAGCTTGTGACTTGAATTGAGACTGGAGATCTTGTGTTGGTCTTGTGATGGTCTTGTGTACATGTATGTTTGAGTCTTGACTATTGTTGATACATGTATTGTTAATTATTAAAGCGGCAGACGCAAGTCTTTGAGACATGGTCAAAATTATAGCACGGCGTGCACAAAGAATTGCAATAACAATGACCATATCTCATACAGGCGTGTGGACAAACTGGAAAGAATGTTGCAACCTGATGCTGCTTTTTATGCCCCGCCGGCGAAGCCGAAGGGGCATACTGTTTCCGCCTTATCCGTCCGTGTGTGATCTGATACACCGTGCCCTCTGGAGACGTGCACACAATAGGGAACAAAAGATTGTATACGTCTCCACAGGGCAATTTCTATAGATGAATACGTCTCCACAAGGTTTTCACGAAATAGATATATGGTTTTTACTCAAAAACTAGGAATTTCGAAGGTGGGTTGATCTGTCGCAAATGGAAAAGTTTTAGAAAAGGGATATTAAGTCCGAATTTCAGCCAAGGAAATTAATTCTGGTTAAAATAAGAGCATTTTGAAACTTCACTTTCAAACTCGAAAACTTTACTACACGAGAACAAAGAAATGTCTCCACAGTGATACAAATTTCAGTATGTGTGTGTGTGTGAGTATGTAAACACCGGCAATCGTGGACGTAGGACAAAAGAATTGGGGCGCAAACAATACGTCCACGATTGACCGAACGTCCACGATCTCAAATCATGTACAAAACCAATTAGAGCTACAAACAAAGTACAAACAAAGGAAAGAGGATTAGGGACAATGGGGCGTCCACGATTGCCGGCATTTACACACTGGTGTGTGTGGGTGTGGGTGTGTGCATGCGTGCTTGTGCATTTGGTTCCACAGCAATATCTGGATTGTATGTCCATGTACATGTATGTCTTGAACCTTGATACAATGAAGGTAGCTTGCTAGTATAACTTATAAGTTTGGATCCCATAAGACAAAGGCCAAGGTCATAAGGATTAAAACAATAGGAATTTTTTTTTTTTTTACAAACCAGTATACATGTGCAAATGTAATCACTCACTAAAATATTAGGGGGCCTGTACACTGTTTATACATGTTTTTTTGTATAATCAATGTGGCTTCTCCACCCATTTTTTCTTGGACAGTCATATTTTTAATTGAAACAACAGAAAACAAACACGTGTACATGTACATGTATTACTAAAACTTGAGACTTGCACCGTAGTACATGTACATGTATATGCAGCTCTGTAGGTTGTTCTTAGGATTTTGAGTCACTTTCGGACCCCATAGGCCAACTGTTCTCATTATTAAAAACCAAAGAAATGATGTCATGATGATAACTCAAGCTTATTCAAATAACCGTATTTTCTTTTGATTATTTAAAAATTCTTATTTCCATGTAGGCCTTGTAAATGCTCAAAGGATTATGCTCAAAGGATTTGCCTTTGAGAAATGTCTTGCTTAAGACTGAAAATATCCAGTCAGTTTGCTTAAATCACATACAATGACTTCCCAACAGAAAAGCAAAAAACAAAAAATCATTATGGGATCAAATGCATCAATACATTACATATATAACCTAAAGAAAACAATCACGATGTCAATGAACGTTCCATGTGACCCAGGTAAGTTGATGTTAATAGAGTGGTGTTTTGTAATGGAGATAGGCATGGTTGCGGGGCATTTGTGTTTTTTAACACTACTTTTCCTGTTTTTTTATGCTTTTCGGTTTCAGCCGCCTCCACTCCCAGACAAGGAAGCTAGTGGCGCAGCATCCCATATGCCTACAATGAAAGAGCCTCTCCTTCGCCATGGATCACCATTGAGAAAACCCACCACCAACAACACTCACAAGTAGTCACATAACTCAACAGCTCCACCCCACCCCCCCCCCCCCCCTTACATAGTGTGACAACAAAACTCCACAAAACTGTATCAAACCTAAAGCTGGAAGGAATTCTTCAGGTCATTGAATTGTACAGTATGTTCAATATTTGATGTCAATTTGACAAGGCCACTTCAGACTCAGACATTATGGAGGATTGGAGGCTGCCATTCTTTATACCAATCCCCTGCTGAGGGTGTCTCTGATATGTCAACATCTTTCACTGGTGCATATGCCCCACTTGCTCTATTAGCAGTTGTTACAAGTTACCAGTGAAGTTTACCCAATTCCACTCATTGCCCTATGGGTGGTATTCACAGGAAATCTTGTCAACCTTGTCATCAGCTGTGGGATCCGTGAAACTTGACTAAAAATTGTTCTGATTAATATTTCTACTTAACATTCAATGTGCATTTGTACTTAAATTAAAGACAGTTGTTGGTGCATAGTAGAATTGCAGTCAAGTCAGTCACACGGTCAATCACAAACTCAAATGACAAGTCAGGCTTACAAGTAACAGAGGATGAACAATAGTACAGAAATGTATCTGTCAAGGTTCATTGGAAGAGCTTGTCTCATGAGACTGGAGGACATGCGATTGACGTGTGATTGACTTAACAGGATTTGTTGTATAATAATGAAATCTCTAGTGCGTGGGGTGAAGGCAACTTGGAACATTTCACTCCCCTACATCTGAATATGAACAATCTATGCACAAATCGATGTTTGTCTGGGATTGATTGCTAATTGTTTTAGTCACATGTAAAGCAAAGTGGTGGTGCTTTAGTTTCTCCAAAAGAACCCACAGTTTTGGTTCCTTGATGCAAATGTCGACACTTCCTTCATGAGTCAAAGATAATAATTCCAAAAACTTCATCACCTTGCAGTGTGTCCAGATTTGCCATAATTCAGTACTTTCTAATTTCTGAAGTCAGTTAAAAGATGTTTTGATTATTATGTGTTGGTTTTCTAAATTGTGACATAATAGTTGTATGTGTAATGAATGGAAGCTATGCAGCACCTTACAGGTTCAAGCCTGTTGGTTTTTCATAATACTTTGCCATTAATGGTAAGAAGTACCTTAATCTGTTCATTGCTGAGCTGAGGTTTGACATGTACTATGCAGCATGGCAACAGTTTGTGAAATTATTTGGGCAGGGGGCTGAGTAGTATCCGAGTAGTATTTCACATTGTCTTTAATGAAATGCAAAAATAGCTGGACTATTTGCTGCCGTCAGTTAAAAAAAAAACCATAACATTCCACAGGCTGGATAACCTGTGGTCAGTGTTTATGCTCAAGACCAACTAGGTTACTTGGAAAACAAGCTGTACTATCTTTTATTTCATTGACATGATTTGAGGTATTGCTGGTTCAAATTAAATAAAATATAAAAGTTAGGGAGTTACAAGGTACTGCACTGAAAGTATAATATAACCACGATACCCTCAGCTTCTAGAAAAATGTGCAGTTATTGCTTACATGGCATGATACATATTTGGACTGTGCTTTCGGATTCTGTTAAGACTTGAAAAGCTAAGGAGTCTAATTTTCTTTGTGTGAATATGCATATTCTCAGTGACTAAGATTCCAAGGGTACTAAAAAAAAAGTTATAATAGTCACTGTCCTGCGCATTTTGACGCAACTTTAAAATGGTGACGCTGAATGGTAGGAGGAATATCTCACTGAATAAAAATAGGAGACTGAAAATCTGGGACACAAAAAGTAGCTCTTCCATCAAAAGCAGAAGCATTTTTTGTAATTGTTATTAATCCAGAAAAATTGCTGCAGGTTTTAGTTTTTTGTGTGAATGGTGATTATAATTATTTTTGCTTTACTTTACTCTTTTTAATCCAACTTGTGTGTCTATTTTTTGTTTTTGGTTTTTAAGACTGAAGTGTCTTTTGTACATAAGAACAGATGAAATATACCATAATTTGTCTTTTGTTGTTTGGTTATCTGTAAATTATTGTATAGAATCAGGTAGAAGAGACTTGTATGTGTTGTGTAGTGAGTAGTGGCAATAGGTGTGTGTAACACTGGATAATGTTAAATCTTGGAGAACGGTAGCACTTAAATAGTACTTGATGATTACTATATATAATGTATAATATTCTTCATACTTTGGCTTTTTTTCCTCTCAATAACAGTGAAAGGCCTGTGATTCCTAGTGTTTATTGCTGTCTATGACACATTACCTATGATCTCATTCACCAGACTGGAGTAGCTGTGTAGTCACAGTGTACATGGCTGATTTGAATGTGCCACATTTGTACTTGAACTCCATTGCAGCTAAAATTATGGGAAATTTAAAGACACAAATTCTGCAAAATAGTTCCTGTATTTGTTTGAAGTTTGTAATCAATCTTCTCAGATTATGGGGTTTTTTTCACAAGTTTTTCATATTGTTTAATTACAATGCATTTTGTATTTTTGTGTAACAATCAGGTACTCAAAAACGTATTGTTTCAGACTTTCAGGAAATCACCCTAGAACCTAACTTAATCGTTTATTTTTTTCAAATTCATTAGGTGACATAATGGGAAAAATGTGACCAGATTCGACAAAACTAGTCTTGAAGTAATTTTCCTTCTCATTTTGGTCATATGAATTATATTTGCATACGTAAACCTCGCATTTTATTTTTTGCTCACAAAAAGACAAACATATATATGAAGATATCATATGGGTGAAAATGCTGACTTACTGTTTGCAAGGTATGTACAATAGACCTATTACTCACAATAGCTGTGGTGTCTTCTGAGTCATTTTGTTGTGGTCGGTTTTGGTCGGTCACAACTGAGTTTGAAACAATTCTGTGACTTCCAAAGGGCACAGACACGTATTAAGGGGTGGGCGAGGAGGAGATACGATACTGGGACCGCCATCCATCCACTCCCTGTTGGTTGGTTTGTGACACCACAACATCAAAGGCATGACGTCATGGTTTCATAATAAAAGTTTGATGTATGATTTACTGTATACAATTATTGTTTATGCCTTAACTGTGGTATTATGAAATATCCAAAGTACAATGTTATATTTTACTTTGGGAGGGGAACTGTGGCCCAGCACCAGTTTACACTGGACAACAGGCAAGAATAAAGGGTCACTCTCCACACTGCTAGACTGTGTCTGGATCACTCGGCTAAAGCCAGCAATAGATCGTTACATGCTGCCACCATTTTAGTCATGTTCCCTGTATCTAATAACAGCACTGAATGATAATGTTTTTGTGCAAAAAGGAACCAGACTATTTTTCCTTTCAGCCTAGCTTTGGTTGCGTTAATTTGAATTGGAAAAAAATCAAGATGGCCCAAACATGATAATGGTCTATAAGCAATGCGCCTATTTAGAAATGTGGTGCTTTTATATTTTATCCAGTGCACTGCTTTAAAGGTCAAAATGAAATTTGTTTTCTCAAATACATGTAATTTAAGTGGAAATTGGAAATTAAAATCCGGTGCTATCATCCATATTTTCTCGTACACTCATCCATCATTAACTCTTATCCATCACTAAATGATAAATGATAAAATACCAGGTGCTTGTTTTTCCCCACATTACCTTTCAACTATGCAGTGTACATTTTGTATATTTCAAATTGTTATCCTGTTTTGAAGGATTATGTTCTCTTCCCCTTTGTAGCTTTTGCCAAGAATAAAAACCTTTGAATGTGTTTTTTTTTTTATACAATGAACATTAATTTAAAAAATACGGCCATAAAAAAAATTGCAATGACGATTCTTGTTGTCAAGGTGCTTGAATGCAGACCCTAAAATCGGTGCGAAATGGGGGCTACATTGCACATTTCAAGGTTACATGTACTTCCATTTTTGTATGCAGCCTTTCATTGCAAAACAAAATATGTGTTTCAAGTGAAGTTAAAACAGTTTTATTATGAATAACTCATAATATGCATTGATATGATGTACTGACTGATTGTATTGAATAATTAATACATTTTTTTATAAAGAATAATAATTGTTGAAGAGACAAAGCTTGGTGTGCTGTCGTTTTATTACTAGTAATTCGTCTTAAATCTTTTTACAAAATTTCTGTAAACATGCCTGAACACTGGAAAAGAGCAACGTTACGTACAATCGAAAATAAGTAAAAATCACAAAATGTCAATGTAACCTATCAGTATAATATGGAAATTAACATAGTTATGTTGCTACAATAAAACATAACAGACTAGGACTCGCTTCCCCACTACGCTTCAGCTATTTACAGGTTTGCCTCCCCCCCCCCTCCAAAAAAAATGGCAGTGATACAAAATAGACAATTAGTGTGTTTAAGAGCTTTCTTGTGGGTGAGATCTAAAATGGGTAGGTGCCCAATATATAAGGATAACCATGCAACATGTTTGGATGAAATAACTAATGCGATAAAGTAAATTAAACCGTGTTTACACACAAATTTTTTAACATGTTTAAAAAAAGATTAAAAATTATCAAGAAAATTAGGTGTGGTTTTATGGATATATGCAGTGTTTCATTTCCAAAAAGAAAAGAAACTGAATTTGACCTTGTGATAAAGCTTTTTACATCCTGAGATTCATGCTCAATGTGACACTGAGTCTGTTTCTGCATCTTCTGTCTTCGGGAGTGTTTCACTAAGTAAATACTACAAAGTAGCCAATCAAAGTCTGCCCTGATGAACGAATCAAGCTTGCAGACCATGAACTCGAACTGTGACCCAAACTGTAATACTATTATTAACATCAAAAGTAAAACCCCTTGATGTCCACAGTCCAGTGTATGGTACTGAATCTGCACTGAGTCTGTTATTCTGAGGAAGCGAAGTCACTGACCACAGCTAGCCATTCATCCTGTCCGTTACTGAAAGAAGAATGGGAGATGTTTCACAAAGTTAAGAATTCGTTCATTGTTTAGACAGCCATAGTCAAATGTTTTGGAGTTTCAAAATGCACAGTTAAACCTAGTATTTTCACTGAAAAGACAATGGAAAACCTCTTGGCATTTTTTTAACCTTTGTTCTATCATTGAGCAAGAGCTTTCTATATGGTTCTATAGTTGTTTAAGTGTTAAATACTGGTTTACATTTTATGTTTGGTTGAAATTCTGATTGTGATGAATTTGTAAAGACTTGTAACAACTTGAACACAACTCTTGTCAGCTTATTGGTTGGTCGGTATGATGATTGATTTACGATCTTTTTGCTCATGGATGTCGTTGGTTAGTAGTTTGGTTGTTGTTTTGTTGGTTGCATCTTTCTCTATACTTACCATATTCGCAGTGGCCAATTGTGATGCGCCTGCCATAATACAAGTCACATTCAATCAAGTTGTTGTCATAATCCGACTCCGCCACCAGATTGTCTGGATTGATATGTATCTGCCAAAAAGGGGGGAAATGCAGAGATAGAATTTTGGCAATCTGTTTGGTGTCTGCTCATGGTAGTCGACATTTCAGAGAAAAGGAGTTTTGGGCAGATGGGCACACACTTCACACCCATTTACACTCATCTACTGGCAGGAGAGGGTGTTACAATTTGGTTTGGACAGTAGTGTAGTTCACTTATTGGCAGAAGAGAGGGGCAGGGTGGGCTCAGGTTGGGCAGAAGAACACACCTACCATGAGTTTATACCAGTCTTTCCTGATATTAGGGACATTCATCTACTAGAAGGGAAGACCGGGCATGGGCGGCCGCGGACAAACCTGATTCCTGCATCTGCTGGTGGGAGTAGGTGTAGGCCAGGGTTGTGATCGGGTGTTGCATATAGGGACCCACCCTTCAAGAATAGACCCTGATGTGCTTCTACATTACCCTCAGATTATGGCCACACAGTAGAGGTGGACCAGGGTTTGGCTGTGACAAAGTAGTCCCCATGCTCACTTTGTCTACTCACTGGCAGGGACTTTGACAGGGCATTTGACAGGGCAGAGGGGACACCCCCATCCCTTCCCCAAACTTACCCTCAGGGTGTACAGGTCTGTCTTGACTCCCGTCACATCCACCCACTGGCAATCAATGTTACTGGCGTAGATGTCGATGCAGTTGACAGAGATGCCTTGGTCTGTGATACAGGAGAACTGTGGGGTTATCCCTTCATCACAGTGGCCGTCCTCCAGACAAAAGCTAGCCTTATGGCCTTGGGCTACCCTCTCTCCTTTCTGGTTGATCAGGTCGTAATGGCTAAAGACCTCCATGCTGTGGAAATGCCTGGATAGGGCAAATTAAGTGGGACTCGATGATGAGGTAGGGCTACTGACATAGATGGGGGGGGGGGGGGGGGTTGTGTAGATACTGCGGACGACTTTTGACTTAATCCTATCCATCCCATCCTTTTATCAAGGCTCTTTCGAATTTGGTGTTCATCGACAATAATATTCAAATTATTTGTTATTCTCCTTTGTTGCCTAGAATCTTCTAAGTAACAAAATCAAAGAGCTGACCACAATCAAAGTAGTTTTAAAGTTACAAGTTATGTACAACATACACACAAAAGTAATTTAACAAATATCTCTTCACCGAAATTTCCGGACAACGTAACTTAGTTTCACAATCTTTCATTGCAGTGAATTGAACCTTAGCTCTCTTTTTTTAACAATGAACACAGACATAAAAACAGTCCCTTTGTTAAAATTGTCGGGCTGTTTGTTGGGGTGTTTGTTTGTTTGTTTGTTTTGTTTTTCATCTTTTTACCTATGACAAAGGTGCCATTTCCAACTGTATCGAGACAGCAACGGTCTAAACTGCTCCATGCCTCGGTTCATGATGGCGCTAGTGAAGCGTAGCAGACGACGAAGGCCCCAGTTATTGGGGACATCGGACAGGCAACCTTCCTCGCGTGCACAGGTCAAGAGGGTATCAGGCCAGTCCTGGACACGAACAGATGACTGGAGAACATGGAGGTCCATCAAGACGTCTGGCAGCGCTATAAAGAGAGGAGTAGAGCTTAAGAAAGTTTGAAATGTAATGAGTGGCGAGTCAGTGTGGCCATATTTGTCCTGAGATTCGCCTGTCATAGGGCATAAGGCCACTTATTGTCGGCTAAAATAAAATGAATGTGACGAGAAGCTGGGACCTGCTGACGTGGAAAGCAGGATACAGCGCATTTCGAAGTGCATGAGGTGGGGCAGTTCCGGGGAAAAAAACGTGAGGGATGCTTCACTCCGTTTCAGACCTACATATTAATGTTGGGTGCAGTTGAAGGTATGCGATGCATCGCGGTGCAGGCACGGGAACTTTTTTTGTATAACTTCCCTCTAGTTAAGTCTATGACAAGTCAAATCACAAGTTAATTCACAAGGAAAATCTGAAGTAACGGGACGAACAATGGCAAAGAAATACCTTGGTCAGAGCTCATTTGTAATTGTATAGCTTTTCCATTGGTTTGAGATGGGTGATCATTATGATGAGCTGTCAGGACTTGATCGATAACTACTTTATTTTGCCAGCAACTTCAGGTAATCTATCCACAATGACCTGCGTTTCCTCCAAAATTTCTTTGAGACAGATGGCATAAGCCGTCAACAGCCCCCTGAATGAAGCAGGACAGGTGGGTACTAGCGAAAGTAAAACCTTTCAGCAAGATTCTTACTGTCAACACAGACAACCCCGGCTCGGAATGCTCTGATGCAAGTGTTGGCATTGGAAGGTCGCGTGTATTTGCACTCCTTGATCGTTCTCTCGTGGCCTGTGCATTTTACCTCCATCATGAGAAACGTCCTCTTCGGAGCGCTGCCGTAGCTCAATGTGCTCTAAAAGAAGTTGAGGAGCAATAAAGTCATTGATATAATACTAAACAAGTTATTTGTTAAAGTTTTAACTCCTTGTTTCGGTAGCTAATCTACTGATTTTTTCGATTCCATTCTAATCATAAGGTAACAAAAACAACATGCATGCAACTGGGAAATCACAAAAAAAGAGGAAATTCAAAATTTTCCCAGACTTTGTACAGTGTTTTTCTATTTTCAATGGCACACATGGGAAGTAAAAAAGAGGAAATCGGCTGATCCGAGGAAAAGTTGCATGCCTGATATTTAACAAATAATTACAATTATGAGGGGAAAAAAGCAAATTCTGTGGGTAAACGTTAGTTTTTTGGCAGTGTTAGGCCTATATTTATGAGTTCGTAAAACAAATTATGTCACGTCCTAAAAAAAATTGTCCTATGTCCCTGTCATTGCATAAAAAACATTTCTTTGAAACTACTTCAATCCTGTTAATTATTTCTCGTTTCTTCTCTCGATAGATCAACTTGCACGGACTAACCTCTGGTGCATAGCGAGCGTGTCCCAGTCCAAGCTGACGGCACACTACCTTACCAGCCAGGAGTCCCCAGTTCCATCCGCAGATGTTGCCCCATTCCCCATTGATGTAGACCGCCACCCGCCCCTCTCTCTCGTACGTGCCGCCTTCAATTCTCACCTGTGAAGAGTAATGAGAATGCACGATTTCTGTAGGTGTTCACTGTCTCCATGTTTTTATTCCCCCCCCCCCCAAATTACATTATTTAAGTACGGCCTCCCTCAGCATGGTGTGCAGGGTTACACACCTATGTTCCGACTGCACATATTCCTATCCCTAACCATAACCGGGAGTAACACAATTTTATGTACGGATTGTCGGAACATAGGATTGTCGGAACTTTTGGACTTATTTTAAACACAGTGCGCCCATATCTATGTAAATGAAGGGCGCAGTCATTCAAATTCACTAGCCACGTGCATGGAGCTGATTTGAAAATGTTCATCACACTCTGTACTCGGGCCATTACGTATTAAGTTTGATAAATGTGAATTTAGTTATATTCAATTCGAGTTTCAGATGTTATTTAGTTATATTGAGATTCACATGATACCTTGCTAGCAGCATCGATATCAGGCACCACGCACTGTACGCTAGCGTCTTGGGCGTGGGTGCACCGACTGCCGTTCAGGTAGCCATGATCGCAGTCTAGTAATGTTTTTTCGTGTCCCTCGCATCGCATACGCCAAAGCCAGATAGGGCCAACGCCTGCAGAACCAAACAATATTCAACACACAAACATAAGGGAGGGAAACCTATAGCAAAGAACCTACGATCGATAAGGGGACAATTATAACAGCTAGGCCTATATTATGAAGAGGGAGGAAAACTGCAGATTAAGAAGCAAATGTTTAATAAAGGTTGTGTTAGGCCTACATTTATTTAAAGGGCTGTATTAAGCTTAACAATAAATACAAAACAAAGGCAGTTGCGAAGATCTTCAGATAGTGTCTGAAAGTCGGCTGGGTTTGTTTTTACGCATGATCGAAAAAAAAACCCAGTAGGCCTATATTTGGCCTATAGTTTGAGGGAGCTTGTCAACTATACAAACGCCTCAACCCGAATAGGCCCATGGCAAAATAGCCGGGTTCGTTGGTGTTTTGGTATGATTACGTTTAGGCATTTACGGTTGGGTTGACAGAGATTACACTGAGAAGTTCCAGCCACTTAAATTATTTCCTGCGTAGCAGTTCGCGTTCGGCAACCTACATTATATGACGCCTGTGTCTCTGCTTTACCAGAGTAGCCATGTTTTTTTTAATATAATATCTTCCAAAGGACTGAAAGACCCACCTTGTCCAAACTCGGAGTTTCTTACGGCTTTCTCTGCTACCCCGAAACCGAGTTGTCGGCAGGCTACGCTTGCGCTGACCTCGTCCCATCCCTCACTGCATATCGTGCCCCAGAGGCCGTTCACGTAGACCTCCACACGGCCTTCTCCGTAGTAAGCCCCGGACTTCAGCCGGATAGTAGGCTTCGGTTTCTTGATGACCTGGAAGAGTAACAAAGAGTATTCGCCAAATGTCCATATCGATATTTATAGATGCTGCTCATTTCTCCTGAAAATTTGCTTGAATATACGTTTGCTTACAAATCTTTGCTAAAAATCTGATATAGATAAAATGTTGTTTATCTTGCTGTCCTACCTAGTAATAATTTCCTAATAAAAGAAATTGGTGACGCATTTTTTTTCTGCTTAGCTGCTCCGATACATTTTCAATGGCACTCCAAAACATTGGCGTTAACCCAAATATCTGTTTCCATTGGGTGACGACCCGCACAATGTAGATAACGAAGTTAGATAACACCGTTTTCCTTGTTTATTTATTAATTTTTTTATTGATGACAAAAATTAATGATAGACAAGTATACGTTGCGAGAAAACATCGATCAACCGTGCTTACCAGTACTTCTGGCGTCGCCTGTTTTCGCGCTGCCTTACTCTTTCCCTTTCTTCTCTTTGCCTGACCGGCATCATCGTTTAGTATTTCCTGTGCATCTATGTCGGTCGTTGTTTCTGGCATTGTAGTGGATGAGGTGTTGTTGTTCATCCCCGCATCATTGACTTCCGCGTCCGCGCTGGTGTTTCCTTCAGCACCTGCTGATGTGATCTCTTCGTTTTGAACTATCTCCTCGTTGTCCTCCGCTGCCGTGCCTTCAACAGGCATTCCGTTCTCGTCGTACGGGGTGTCGAGAACGAAGTCTCCGCGATGACAGCGGGCATGCGCCACTATGTCAGACGGGCAGTCCTCTTCATTCGCCAGGTCGTCGAAGGGGCAGGTACCTATGTGGACCTCGGATCCCGTGCATTGGACGTTTGTAATCCGCATGCTCTTACGTCGCTGGAAGTTACCCCTGGTCAATACGTGAAGTTAACATTTTTTAACCGTGAGACTGACATTCGAGAAATGGATATAAACATCAAGTTCATTGCCAAATTATTTATGTTACGTTGTTGCAATGTTTGACTCCTGTAACTTACGGAAAATGTTCTTGCTTTTTGTGACTACCTGGCCCCATTAATGCAAATAACTCAGACTGATATTAAGCTCAAAACTGGAATTTTTTTAATCGCTTTAATATAGGGAAAAAAAAGCGAAGAACAGAAAAAAACCGAAACGCGATTATATTTTTTTGTCTTTTATCGTCACTGCATATTCTCATTTGTTAGAAATCTATTTGCTTGGTCCTAGATTGTGTGGAATAATAAATTGCCATTTCCTAATAGATTTTAGTACATGTATAATATTAGATTGTAGTATTTGCATGGTGGAGCGATTATACCGGGAGAAGTTTGCGATTACACCATGTAAAAGGATTTACTCTCAAAGACTATTTGCTGTTCTGAGAATAACCAGAGAATTAAAGTCATGTTTTCAATTAATGTGCTCAAACCGTCCACAAGACTGAACCTGAAACCTGTCCTTCTCAGATCCGCACTGTGTTCCTACAGTTAAAGCCGATTTATCATTCATGCGGAAGCGAAGCTAATTTCACAACCTCAATACTTGAAGTTTCATTGTGACGATCGCTGTTACCCTGATGAATTTACTTCGCACTCATGTGTGCGAAGTATGAACCGGCATTAAGACGCTTAAAGTGGTGTATCCGCAAAACTTCTCCAAGTCAAGATCCTTTACTTACGCCTCTTGATAACCTTCTCTCAGCGGCATGGAGTCCTTGAAGCCCACCATGCCACAAACAACCCGCGAGTCTAGGGTGTCCCAGTCCTCGCCACACACGGTACGCCACTTGCCCTTGTAGAGCAACTCCACCACGCCCTCTGAGATGGGCTGAAGCTTAGACCCGCCTACCAGGCGAACCTTCATCTGCCGCCTCTCCTGGGAACATACAATTGACCGATCGAGCTCCCGTAAGCTCCCGGGGAAGGGGGCTTAATGGGAACAGCATATCATAATAGAAGGTTTGTTTTTTTTCGATATAAGTTAGCGACATTTCAGTTTGCCTGTTTCAACGTTGGTTTTCAACGTGGGATAATTTTTTTCAGGAGAAGTTGTGGTACCAACAAGAGAAGACCTCGTGCTTGGTCATCATTCAGTACGGGAGTCTACGTTGTTCTTCTGGTTGTATTGTTTGATTGTCGGCGTTACTACTTTGCTCTTAACGTCTATGTTTTGAGTTGCGAATCATATACCATATTTCAACCATAAAACATCACTTATCAACATTAAACTTCAGTCCAATGCTACCAAAGATTGCAGCAGTTAGCGAATGGGAGAGAAGCTGCAATATTAGCAATAAGTTTCAATTAGGTATAAAATCACAGCAACAAATAAGCAATGTATGGACGAACACGACACAATCAAACGGGGAGCCTTCTATAAAGCGATAGAATAAAAGACGGACAAGTTATAGCGACCATAAAGAAAGGTTAAAATGATGAATCTACACAAAGAGAAGCTAATACAGAAAGATGACATCAGTGCAAGAATAAGCAATGCGTGGACGAACACGATGCAATAAATAAAGAGGAAACTTTATCCCCCAAAAAATTACAGAATTAAAAGACGGAAAAGTAGCGACAATAATTTAAAAGAGAAAATCTTGAAAGAGAATATAATACACGAAACATTTTAAACGACAAGAATTTGGTTCCTCGTTCAAATGAAGTGGCCTCAGTCGTTGGAAATCCAAATTTATGTTAATCGGCTTGAAAGCCGTTTTTTTTAAGGAAGCGATGAAGTTTGTAAGCATCTCAAATTTCTTCTATTTTTAAACAGACAGATTCTACAAACGACGGACGAGTGCTAGACTATGTACAGATATGCTGCAGTCAAGTCAGTGCAAGGACTAGCGGGAAATGCGCAGAGTTAATGCCCCCCCCCCCCTTCTCTCTCTCTCTCGCCACTGGCTCTCACTGCAGTTACCATTGGTATTGTCATTCTCTCAACTGTTATCTAACCGTCATCAATGTCTAAAGGTATCGTCATTTTCGTCCCTGTCCACATTTTCATCACAGACTCATCACTGACTTGAGAGTACTGTTAATATCAATGTCAGCTTCATTATCATTATTCCATCTATTCATCTAATTCCGTTTTATTGCGGTACCCACTGCTACACAGATTCGAACCAGCCAGCCAATCCCGGCAAGCTCGGTGGTCGAGTGGTTAGACGTCTGCACTAGAAAACGGGAGGTCGTGGGTTCGAGTCCCACCGAGTGAGTTTTTCCATTTTTCACTCGACTCGGGAGGTAACACACTGAGTATATACGTCGGTGAAGAGCACAACCTAATATTGAATTTACATCACTTATCGCAAATTCCCCCTTATGAATAGTATCATCATTATCGTTCGTGTCGTCGTTCATCAGATAACATTAGTCTTCTCCGAGCCTGACAAAATTGCTTTGGTCCAACGACAAACTTAATCTCAGTGTCATTGTTATCGTGATCGATGTCAATGTCGCATTTGTCGATGTCTTCTTATATTTGCCATCGTTATTGTATCGTCGCTGTCGTGTGCATCGTATATCATTTTCGTCGTATGTGTAATTATCGTCATTTTTAAACAAAATTATAAATTATCTCAATCACTACCATCGCTCCCCAATCACTACCATCCTTGTATTTCGGTGGAGTCAACGTGAATATGATCAGGTACGGGTCTTCCAAGAACCAGGATCCAAATTCCGTCGGGTCTGTAGGGAACTCGACTACTTACTTTCCTGATCTTGCTCCTACGGATACTTACAGCTGCCCTTTGTGCCTCCATCCGCTCCTGGATGGTGTCTTGGCTGCAGGTCAGGCCGATATCCTCGCTATGGCGACAGTTGCTGACGCCTAGCTTGGCGTGCTGACATTTGAAGAGGTGAGTCTCGTTGCCTGTGCACCTGACGTCATCCAATACGATTGTACCTAGTGGTTGGAGCAATGAGCTCGATAACTCTTGCATTCCTACTCGATACCATCTACGTTTACACAGGCGGTATCGTGACTATCTTCAGTGGTGTGGCCGGGAGGGGGTACGGGTGCAGAATGACAGATCGCAACGGAATGGAGATTTTAAAAGCAAAATCGGGATGCTGATAGAAGCCAAATCGGGACGCTGATAGAAGCAAAATCGGGACGCTGATAAAAGCAAAATCGGGACGCTGATAAAAGCAAAATCGGGACGCTGATAGAAGCAAAATCGGGACGCTGATAGAAGCAAAATCGGGACGCTGATAAAAGCAAAATCGGGACGATGATAGAAGCAAAATCAGGATGGTGAAAATGGGCTAGATGGGACGAACATTCTACTTTGCAACGGGCAAACAAAACCCTTGGTACGCGTATCGTAATAAACATGCATTTCAGATGGAAGGATACGCGTGAAGTTAGCAATTCACATACTTAGACGGTTTTAAGTATTGCAATTTGAGATTGGGAGAAGGGGATGTCATTGGTCGACTAAAGATTATGCAACCCCTGGATATCAAGATTCAACTCTTTACTGGGCATCCTTCCAAAAACGAGATGACCTTGCAATATATGTAATTGCACCATGTCCCGATGCCCAGTAACGAAAGGGCAATTGGGACAGCTCTTATAGAATAATGAGTGCATGCTGCTTCTTGTAGTGCACCAAAAAATGTATTTTTGTAGAGTTCGTCTCCATTCACATGGCTGTTTTCTCTATTTACGCATTTCCTTTATTTAAGCATGACTGGTACCACGGTGAGAGCATGTGTGGTGTATTTGTAGTAGGCATACACAATGACTTGAGAAACTGTTTGAGAATGATGTTGTCTTCGTCCGTAACCCCCCCCCCCCCACACACACACACACACCCCCGCACACCCACTCAAATTTGTATCCTTGTGGAGACATTCCTTTGTTCTCGTGTAGTAAAGTGTTCAATTTTGAAAGTGAAGTTTCAAAATGCTCTTATTTTAACCAGAATTAGTTTCCTTGGCTGAAATTTGGACTATATATCCCTTTTCTAAAACTCTTCCATTTGCGACAGATCAACCCACCTTGGAAATTCCTAGTTTTTGAGTAAAACCCATATATCTATTTCGTGAAAACCTTGTGGAGACCTATTCATCTATAGAAATTGCCCTGTGGAGACCTTTACAATGTTTTGTTCCCTATTGTGTGTGTGTCTCCACAAGGATACAAATTTGTAGTCACCCACACACACAAATCTCAAGCCCTTCCCCATTTCAACCACCGCAACGGTATGTAAGGAAAAGTATGCATCATTAAGTAGTATTACCGTACCTTTCCCAGCCCCAAACACATTGCCGAAGTGAAAGTCCATCGCCTCGGCATACCCCATCATCCGGCAGGCCACGTGTGAGGCGTTCATGTGCCAGCCATCGTCACAGACGGTCCCGTAGGCGCGTTGCCTCTTGAAGTAGACCTCTAGCCGGCCGGACCATGGGTTGTGCCCGCCGACCAGCCTAGCGGCCGCTGGCTTGGGCGCATCACCCTTGACCCCGCCAGAGATCAACGCTATCGCAGACAGGTATACCACCAGACGTACAAGCCACCAGGTGAAGTGTGTGTCACGAGGCATTTTCTTGATGACTCGCAAGGTCCGTTGCTCAATCTATACGCTAAACCAGAGTGACATAAAAAAGGCTTAGGTCTTATGAATTGCCAAGTGACGAAACTAAGCGGGCATGCGCATCCATTGTGCCTCCTCTCATCTGATCAAACCCATATTGTGTGCCCCATCACATAATGAGGACCCAAGTTAATCCTCCTTCAAATTGGATTTTAGTTATGACACTATAGCATTACTTTCAAAGCACTCCCTCTTAAGTTCCATAACCACTCCCCGCTAACCACTTTGAAATAAACTTTGAAAGAGACGCGATCGGAAAACCTGTACCAAACAGACCAAACGCTACAAATTTGTCGTTGGGCATGTTGTTTAATCTACATCACTGCAACCATACGGTCTTCTTAATGCTTGTAAATCAATTTTGTCAACGTTTCGACGAAGTGACGAATCTGTACACACAGCAGCAAAACCGAAAAATTGCATTTGAACTCGGTCGATTTTCAAATCGCCATTTCATTACATTCCTCCCCAAAAATATACTGTAGTCTCACTTTTCATTAAAGCATGTATTTTATAATAAACAGCTTCGTTATTTCGTCAAAAAGGAACATTTTGAGTACGCACACATTTGCAAAGCAGTATGTAATCATTAATGGTCGCACTTCGTCAAAAAACAAAAATGTGCGCGAGTGCACGATCACCGCATGTGATTAAACATTTTGTCACTTCGTCAAAATACAAATCTTACAGGCTTCGCACTTAATTAAAAGTATTAATCAATTTTACGGGGATTCGTCGCTTCGTCAAAACGACTTACCGGGTTGCCGCACATTTGTCACTTTTATCAATTTGGCAGATTATTCATAGAATACACGATAGCATATCCAAAAAATCACAAATTGCTACAAAGTACGGTTTGGGGCAGATTCGTCCCTTTGTTAAAACTTTGACGAACTTCTAATGGAACTCTGTGTCCAAATGATCGAACTGCCCTTTTCAGATCCAATAACTCCACTTTCTACAAACAAAAATATGGGGATCCATTTACTTATCAAATTATCTTTTCCTCTAAGTTCAGAGTAACATACATGACATTTAGTTTTGTATAGGCCTAAGCAAGACATAGCCAAAAAACCCACTGACAATAATATCATTTATCTTAACATTAAAAAAGGGGGAGTGTATACGCTGTATTGAGGAGTTGTTGACGTGTAGGCCTATACGAATTGTTTTTTAGACGTTTGCGTAACGAACACATGAAATCGCTAACAACTAGGGGCTATACAATACATGTCAAGGGCGATATCATCAGGGCTGAGGGGTTAACTTGGGAAACAGGTTGACAGTTCCTTCACAGCTGTAACCTGCTCAATACATGTTTCAGTTTGCACCGACTAGCGGCGGGAACTGGTACGGCAAGTCTGGAGTCATAAATCAATTTGCTGTAATTCTTTCTGATGATAAAAAGCAACGTTCCACAAAAGTTCATATCAACAGCTGTAGATCGGAAGCCCGAAAACCTTAACAGAGAAGACAATGAGCATTATTATGTTCAGATTTAGAGATGGGAGGACCATCCGATCCTCCTCTTTGAACTATCATGCGTAAAAACCTAATCCACGTGTGTTGGGATGAATGGGATTCGATCTCCAGTTGAATGGAGTTTCAATTAAAGTTGGTATATACGTGCTTTTTCAACATTTTGATTTTCTTTTCCGAATGAAATTTAAAGGAATATAAAGTCCTGTAACAAAGAAATTAGCTTGTTGTTTTTGCAGGACGATTTAAAAGGGTTTTAAATGGTGCGCTTGTAGTTCAGAAATTTCGCACACTATTCAGGACGAATAAGAAGCGTCCTGCTCTTAATTCAAAAGTTATTATAGTTATAATTATTATTATTATTATTATTATAAATAATTTATTGATAAAATTTGACATGGCACCCCAGGGGCTGAATTACATCAAAATTTACATAGGCCTATATTTAAAAAAAAAAACATAAACATTAAAAAGACTAATAATAGACAAGAAAAATTAAGCCAAAACAATATAAAATATAAAATTGAAATTAATGTATTGATTACTTGTCATGGGCCGATTTTGTTCATGCGATGTCTCATTGGAAAGCTCATAACTTATGTAATGATAGAAAATTATCAATTCAATTTGAAAATCTATTTTTTTTAAGGTGCCACACCCAAAAAGCACGTATACACCAACTTTAACCAAACTACAGATCGAAATACAGCTTGCATATATCTACTTACTTTTCATTGATGCCAAGTTATTCCTCCATCACAGTGATAGTGAAAATGGTATGAATGATCACCAAAAAATACGCCGATTCGTTATAACATGTATTACAATATTTGTCAGGAATACTCCTTTAAGATTAATATTAGTTCACCATCTGTGTTCCATTGACCTTCACTTCCAAAATACCGTCTTTTAAACATTCCTCACGTAGCCCACGTACACACGATCGACTGTCTCGTCACCGAACCTGCGACCGCAAAGCGACCGGGGAAACTCGACGCTCCAGTCCCACGAGTCGAGGTCGTACCACAGGGGGCTGGGCCAACTAGGCCTTCCGTACCGAAATTGAAATGAAATTTAGAATGTGCCATTTTTATAGTCTAGTATAAAAAGTGCGACATGTGCGTGGAAATATTTGTTGCGAGCGAAGACCAATAAGTCGGTTCAATAAAACTGTTTTCGATCCAAAAGTACTTTTCAAGTTGAAAAAAACCCCCTCTGAAAACACTGTAGTTAAATTTGACTGGAAAGCAGTGAAACAAGTTACTGTTACTGCGCAAGTTACTGTTTTCTGGTCAAATCTAACTGTTTTTATAAACCACAACAACTCTCGGTCAGCCGGTTCAAGCTGTGCACTCATCGTACATGCAATGACATGCTTGTCAATTCATCAGAAAATTATGAAACCAGTCTCGACTTTGACGCTCCGGGAAACAAACTTTTAAGAATATTTCCACTACCACAAATATCTGCCTTTAAGAATCCTGCTAGGATCGAAACATCAGCCTCTTCAAATTCTTCAAAGTATTCGGTGTTGGAGAATTTGCTTCTGCGTAGGCGGGTTGAGCTTTATTGAACTTTAAGGCTATCGGCGTTCGAAATTTCCTGAATTATTGAACATACTGCGGCTGCTGGCTAGCTACAACCGCAACTTGAAACTGAAGGGGTACAAATTTGAGAGATAGTGGTCAAATGTTTTCCTGTCATCGCTGTTCACGTATGATTATGATATGTACCCATCCCTAAATAAATATGTTAGCTAGGAGCCGATGATTAGTCTACGTATCAAAACAATAATTAAGTGGAGTCTTAACTATGAGTCGGACAAAACCCTAGAAAATTTAAAATTGATATTAGTCACAATGTACCATAAAGGCCACACGTCACTGGCTCCGTGAAGAAAAATATGCTAAGTGTTGCTTCAATTATGAAAATCAAACTCAAGATGTTGACAAATCGGAAACTGCCAACTTTGGGCTTAATAGAGCAGCTCAGGAGAGCGGTGTTAACATTAGAAGGTCGCAGCCTCGCAGGTTCAAAACCAACTCAAGTCAATTTCTTTCTTTAACTTCACAAGTATGTTTAATAAACTGAATAGAGATTGAAACTTTAAAATTTAAAATCAACGCGAGGTGTTATATCGTGTTGACGTGTAACCATTGTTTGGAACACGAGTGAGCGTGCACAGAGACCCATCGTATAATTACAATAAAGTACATGTATAAGGTACATGATTATACTTTTATAGAGCAAGGAACTGTAGCCTCAGCTCGCTGCCCATAATGCATAAAATGGCATAGAGCGAGTACGAGCACTTAGGCTAATATTCCAGAACTTAACTTTCTGCCAAGTGAGCAAGATGTCTTTAAAATACAACTGCGTCCTGAAACAAGCATGGGCACGATGGCTTAATTAGGATTGTAAACATGAGCGTCGGCGTTACAGGAATATTCACATTCACAATAGGGCTTGGTATTATCCAACTTTATGCGTTCTCATTACATGCTTAAGTAATCGGAGTTCATTTCAACATGTGCAAGAGCCATGTGTTTGTGCTTGTAGACTATTAATGTCTATGAAATGGTTCATATGCTAAGGCTTCGTTTGCAAAACTCCCTGTTATCTCCTTCATTATAAAAACAAAATAAACTGAGGTTTCACGACACAGTTGATAGAATTCTCAAATGTATGCAATCCTACCTTGTCTCCAGAGAAGTTGTTCGTGTTTAGTTGTCCCTTAGCAAATCAGTCCTTTAACTTTTTCGAAGTTAAATCTCGTTGTTTGTGCCAGCTGTTGAACACTTAGTACACGCTGAACAACAAAAGCGGGAGAAGTTTCTCCTGATCGTAACGTAAAAATACGCTCTGTGCACCCGTCAACCTGCCTGACGAGTATGACGCGGTGATGTACGAAGGATCAAATTCACGGTCGCAACCTCCCGATGGCTAACTGCAATTCCAACAGATTTACTGCTCTACCGGGACTGGGATGAGTTGGCGCGAGGGGTATGGAGGGTCTGTGTTAGGCCAACTGAATTCAATCCTCTGCGGAACCTTTATAAGCCGACCTGCTACTCCAAAGTCGGGGTTAGCTATGCCGTTAACCCGAAGCCACCTCGGAAGATTTCAATCCGCTAGTCAAGAATGTTATGAAATTTACCCAACAGGCAAGATCGAAACAAAATACAGTTGGCGGGACAGGCCTGAAGTTGTGTTTCAAGTTTAGGACACTTTACGATTATGAACAGTTGAAACATAAAATAAATCTGGGGTATTTTAAAATTGATAGTTGTATTATTATGATGCCCAGTCGTTAAGCGAAAAAAAACCTTGCATGAATCTCATAAAATTCTGAGAAGGTAACAACATAGCAAGAACTTCTTAACGAGAAACATTAAATAATTTGTAGGTGGCCCAGGGTTATGCCATTCAAGGACAAGCAAAACAGCTGACGGAGCAGGGTAGGGGTTTAGTAGAGAAAACCCAGATGTGTTTGTGTTGCAAAATGTGTAGACAGCTTGAACTTGTTATACTTCCGGGAGAACGGGGAGAACATAAACAGTTCAGAAAGTCACATTATAACCACTTGATTTATGGATTGTCATGTCAGTTTAAGCACCGTTAAGACTAGTGTGTATGGTATTACTACGAAAACAAATCCTGTTGCCTACTCCATATTAAAGTGAAATTTCGTCCGGAATGCGTCCCTTTGGGCTCGGAAGCACCGTTCTCACGACTGACGACAGCTCACTGAGTACTGAGTTGGACCCCCAAAAAATCGTTGAAAACGGATTAACATTCACACAACACCACTTTGAAAATTCACGAATTCATTACCATGCAAATAAATTCTGGTTAAGTTTTTCCTCCCTGACCTAGTAAAAGTCGAGCTGGGTACGTGTTAATTGGCAGAGCGCTCATTCCGCGCTGGTCCGTGTGTGCGCCTACTCAATCATGCATGTCGCACAGTGTGGCACTTGCGTAATACCATTGATCTCCACACAGTGCGTGATTCGCATTGTTTAAAAATTCGGAAAGAAAACAAAATCACAAGTTTGGTTTGAAAATTCAATATGGGGGGATACTCTAATTATACCGGTACCCTCCCCCCGGTCGCAGAAAAAAAGGAAATCATGCAGCCGAGCCAAGTAGCACGTGTATAATAACCACCTTTTTGACAGCTATATCCCCGCCCCCCCCCCTCTTTTTTTAGCCGAGCTGGATTCGCCCTGTATTCTATGATTTAGCAGTTTCGTACGATATGAAAGCAGTATTAACATCAAAATGTGCAGTGTTCCTACACATATCTCAGTATAAAAAATCTCACCTTTATGCTCAGCTGATTTTATCGGGATGGTCGGCGATGTTGGTCGATGTAGGGGGAAAATGTATGAAGAACGCAATCTCTTCTGTGTATTTATTGGTCTTTTTGCGTGCAATTGAAGGATGATTTTTTTAAACATTAAAATGGCCCAAACTAACACATTTAAAGGGTACAAAATATAGTTTTTTTTAACAGTTTCAAAGGGTTGGATATCAACACTTTCTAGTCTTGGCAATTAAAGGGGAAACTGAATAGTTGTTTTAACATCTAAAAGGGTTGAAGATCCAACACCTTCCTACACCATCAAATTGGTAAAAGGGTCATTATTTTAAAATGGTAATTCTGAACATTTTCAAAGTGCTGGATCCAACACTTTTTTCAACACTTGGAAAAGTGTTGCAAAAGGGCACGACACTTTTGTGACTCTAAAAGTGTTCGTAACACTTTGGAAAGTGTTGAATCAACTTTTAAAGTGTACGTGGTCACTGACCGAACTCATAGAAATTGTTGAGCTTATCATTCCAAAAAGTTGGATTAAACACTTCAGTTTTTAAGAGTGTAAAGATGATTCCCTGTGCTATTGTCGACTTTCAACCTGGAAAATTAGATTCGATTTTTCCTAATTGCCATTTTTGTAGCAATATAAAAGTTATTGGATGAGACACTGCACCCACGTTTAGTTATGAATTAGGCCTGCACAAAATTTGAATTCATGATTGGCTGCAATACTTCGGCTCTCTCGCAGGGCAGGTGGTTTATATATCGTGCACAAAAATAAAGCCCCTTTTAAGTTTTAAAAGGGTTTCAGACGCCCAAATCGAGTACGGTAGTTTGTTTTTAATTAAAACATAAAAGGAGAAACAAACCACATTTTTGAAGATCATGGGGTACATGTACATCTTTAAGTTACTGGGAATTTTGCTTCTACTATGATAATGTTAGGCCTATGCGTATTTCGCTTAGGCCTAACATTATCATAGTAGAAGCAAAATTGTAATTTGTAAGTTGTAAATTGACCGACCGTCTCAGTTTTTTGTTCAACATTTTGTTCCGGAATTGTAAGACATTTCACAGGCTGTGATTCACTGGATATGACTAGTAAACAATATCAACCGTTGGGCAAGGAGTGTCATGGCCTAGCGGTTAAGAGCACCGGACTCATGCTCTCAGAAGCAACAGTGGCGTGGGTTCGAGCCCGGGTGGACTGCTTCGTCCTTCGGATGGGCCGTAAAACTGTAGGGTGTGCATGGTGTTATGCACGTAAAAGCACCCAGTAACACTTTTCGCAAAGAGAAGGGGTTCGGCCCCGGTGTTTCTGGCAAGTGCGTTTATCCTCATACATATGAGGCTGGCAGGCTGCACTCAGTTCAAAGAGGGAAGGAAGAAAGCGGAAGGTAGTATACCGTCACTCGTACTCGTACTCGCGAAGCGCACTTTAAGCAGCAGGTTTAACTCTTGAGGGCGCGTTACTTTTTCGCTTAAAATGGCAGCGCCTACGAATGTGATTGTCAAGTGGAACGGCAAAGAATACTCAATTCCTGACGTTTCAGTATCCGATACTGTTCTTGACTTGAAATGTATGATCTCAAAGCAAACAGGTGTACTGCCAGAGCGACAAAAACTGATCGGTTTGAAATTAAAAGGTAAGCGTAAGCCATTTCTATTCTGCAAAAAGTGCAATCTGCACTCTGCATGCAGTGGCAGTGCGAAATGGAAATGCCAACCGGTTTATTTGTCGGACCGGTACCGGTTCGCATTTCGCAAGTGTCGTAACGCGTGCGTACTCGTTACTCATCGTACGTACTGTAGTCGTATGCGATTGTGAGCGAGCCAACTTGACATGTTCTATTTCTAGCTCTAGCTGGAGTTACCTCAGACTGGGACCGTGAGTGCATAAAAACGTGCAAAATTACTACTGACGTTTTTAACTCACCATTCGGCTAAGTAATGCCCACACAACACATACATCAAAATGATATAGTTGCAAGCATGTCACCTGCGAAATTTGAGACCTTAAATCCAATTTTAAGGCAAGTTTTTGACAGTTCAAAAACCATCCACGTCATTCTTCATGCTCTAGAAATGGTTGTGTGATTCCCAAGGTATTCTGGGTAGGTGTAGGAAGAGCTTGCAGCTTACTTGTTTTTTAATCGATGGCCAAATGAACATAGCGCCCTCTGTTAAAAAATGAAACATTTTGCATTTACTCAGATCAACAAGAGGGCGCTGTTTTATCTACATGATGAAAATGTATTAGCTGAGGAGTCTTTTTGCACAATGCATTGCAGTACTGATCAACGTGATGTTCCGTGTTTGGATTTCGATAACTCCCTGCAAAATTAGAATTAAAAGCTGAATTTTGGTGATGCAATGCTCACAACAGCAACTTTGCGAGGCAGAAGTTTCGAGGATTATTGAAGAAACTGTAATGAGTAAGAAGCTTACAAATTTGATTCACACTCTCATACACAGTATTGAGAGTCCCAAATTTTCGGACTAGAGTTACCTCAGCCCTGTATTTTATCATTGGGTATTACTACTACTAGGGCTGGAGGAAGCAGTTAGCCCCATAAATGTGGCCTATTTACTGGACAACCTCCGTAAATAAGGCCAAAAAAAAAAAGTCTCCGGTTTCTGGTATGCGCGCGCGTTGCCGTAGCCATGCGCGTCGGCAAAATGAAAACCTTTTTTTTTTCAATGAAAGATGATGTCTCAAAACCGCCAAACTCACTGGTTTGACTGTAATCCTGCTGCTGCACAATTTTAACGTGTTTTTAGATTGGGTTATGGTCGAGAATAAGCTTTATGACATTATGTGGCCTCTCTGGACTCCGATATATTTGCACTAAGTTTAGCCTAAGGGCCACACTTCCACTATGTACAAAAACATGTCAAACTTTGTCAAATTTTGATTTTCACATTTAGGCTTACTTTGTAGGGGTTTTTTGCTTTAGAAGCATACTCACCCTCTTTATAGCCTTATAGGCTAATCAGAAAGTGCAGCCCTTTTCAGATGTCTAATTTTCGTGAAATTTCATGTTGAAATTTTGATACGCAAACGTGTGCAAACGAATCAGGAAATTTCACAAAAAATAGACATATGAAAAAGGCAGCACTTTCTGATTAGCCTATAAAGAGGGTGAGTATGCTTCTAAAGCAAAAAAAAAACCTACAAACTACATGTAAGCCTAAATGTGAAAATAAAAATTTGACAAAGTTCGACATGTTTTTGTACATGGTGGAAGTGTGGCCTTTATTTACGGAGGTAGTCCAGTATGAAGATCCAAAATGAAGATTCAGCCTGCAATTGCAGTGAAAAAGGAGGCATTACCGACAGCTGATCAACTTCTGTGTTCGCAGGCCAGAGGTCTTGTAGGGGTTTTGTGTACAAAAAAATTGTGTACAAAGGAATGGCAATGTGTGGTCGATTACCTTGCACAGCGCGCAGATCAGTCGGAGAGGCTTGAGGGGTACTGTCATCGCCTATGACATTCGTCCGTTTCCGGATGATAACTTTACTTGAGTTAGAAATGTTGTTTTGGATTGTAACTTTGGTAGCAGGGTTGCCCTTGGGAGTAGGCAAGTTGGGATTGGTTTTGGGGTCAAAAGTTCAAAGGCCACGGTCACAGTGGTGAGTTAAATGTTAATGGTTTCCGGATGAAACTTGACTCTGGCTGAGGGGTTTCAACAGCAACGCTGTTATTTTTATGCTTTGAAATATGTTTTTACAGCTCTTTGTTTGGTTTGGGAGCAAATTTACCTGGTAAATAACACAGAAATATTGACACTTTGGACTCTCTTAAAGGGGATGACTGTACCACATTTGCTTTTGCTGCAATTTTCAGAAATAAATGGATTTTGAGGATCAGTATGTTATAGCAAATGTTATTAAAATGACTTTTTTCATGTTTTGGGCTTGTAGATGCTGGAAAAACCAAGAAAACCAATCATGTGCTTGTAGTCTGGCTCCCTGACCCCACTTAAGGTGAAACGGAGCAATTTATGGACTTTGGGGAATTGTAAGGTCAGAGAATCAGACTAGCAGGCTTGTACCCCTTCACAGGTGTGTGATCAATTGCAAAGAAAACGCGGAATAACTAATTATGCAGCACACCAGGAGCTACAATTTTACAGGATGCTTTAGACTGTCATTCCCTAACAATCCTGTAAGGTATTTTGTGATAATTTGATCATTTCGTTTTGTGATGTTTGCAAATGTTGTATCTTTCCTTTAATAATATTATTGTTCAAATGTAATTTTGAAAAGATCACAAAACCATAAACAGAATTTTTGGAGACAGCTGCATGTGTCACTAGACTTGGTCTAGCAGTCCAGTGTTGATTTCCAACCCTGCATTAAACCAGTTCGTCCCAATTTGTTTCAGGGAAAGTCCCCCCAGATGACACTGTCATATCAGCCCTACAGCTGAAAGCTAGCACCAAGCTGATGATGATAGGTACCAGGGAAGAAACCATCGCTGCGGCCAATGAGAAACCAAAAGATATGGAGGAAGTCATTGACGACTTTGACATCGAAGATGAGGAAATTCAAACAGAACGCAGGTATTTGGGCATTGGGAATCTTGTTGAGTGCTCTCTTGACAAGGCCGAGAGTGATCTTAGCAGGCATACATTGTGTATCTTCACATAGCACTCCCACCACACTGACTGGGAAACTAAGATCAGCACTGCAATGCATGCTGAATCGCACTTTGTACACGTAGAAGCAAATGTTTTACTTTGTCGTTCCTTATAAAAAAGTTCCTCTGCTGTCTCTTTGTCTAAGCCACCATTTTGTATTCTTCCACCCTGAATGTAAACCACAGTGAGACCATTGACCTTTGTTGAAATATTAAGCCACATAATTTGTCCAGATTGGCATTGTTCAGTTGTATAAGAAGACATAGTCTGTAAAAGAGAGTGTTTTTCTGAATTGCTATTTTTATAACAATCCAAATGCTTTTCACTTTTGAAGGAGAAACAAAAAAAAAATTGAGAATTACAGGGCATTTTCCACATGTACTTGTTTGTAATTGTGGACTTTTGCCCTGTTTCTCTGTAGGGAAGAATTCCTTGGGAAAATTCAGCGGAGAATCCGAGACTACGAGATCAAAATTTTAAATGAGCCCCGGGCAGACAAGAAACTACTAGTGCTGGATGTGGATTACACACTATTTGGTGAGACTAGGACGTTCTTTTTGTTCTAGTGTTTTACCCAGGACTGGAATATCAAGTTAAATCTTTCTATACTGCAGGACTTGTTGCTAAAAAAGTTTACTGGACCTGAAGAATTCTTACCGACCTAGTGCAAGAATGCAAAAATGTTATTGAGCATTGTTTTGAATAAATGTAATACAAAAATTAAATTGCAAAAAGATGAATCTGTTGAGAAAGATGAGCATTGGAATTGGTGATATGTGGTCACTGGTATAGTTCAGTTATAGGAAGTGCTGTGCTGACACCTGAATCACTGAACTCAGTCCAGCAGTCCTATTGCTATTTGTAACTGTTACTATCTTCAGTTTAATCACTTGGGTCTTGATTTTCCTCAGACCACAGGTCTGTGGCCGAGCATGCACTAGAGTTGAAGAGACCTTTCCTGCATGAGTTCCTCACTTCAGCTTATAAACACTATGATATAGTCATCTGGTGTAAGTACAGAACAAATCATATGCATTGGTAAAACACAGTTGACCTAAAACATGTTAATGGGCTATTCAAAGCAGAGTAAAATCTTGAAAACAGTTTTGGTTTTTGTTATTTTTAATTTAAAGATATTGTTCACAGTTAGAATGGGTTGTGATGAATGAAGTGGAATAACAGTGTGGTCCATCAGATTTCAAGTAAGCCTTCCTAGTATAAACTATGAAAGCTTAAGTAATTAATTTAGAATTCAGCGGACATACATGTACATCACAACAAGTATCTCCTCCACAATTGGTGACCAGACCCCTCAAAATAATTCTTTTTGATAAAGACTAATTTGTCTTCAGAAATGCAGCATTCCAATGTAAAATTTCTTAGGAAACACTTGGTGATGGCCCCTGCAAAGAGTGCCAATGTACCCTTTTCGCTTCTTTGATTTCCCCCCAATATTCAGCTGCCACCAGCATGAAGTGGATTGAAGTCAAGATGAAGGAACTAGGAGTCAGCTCTCATCAAGATTACAAGATCGCCTTCATGGTTGACAGTGGTGCCTGCATCTCTGTGCAGACCCCGAAATATGGTGTGGTCGACGTACGTAGCCCTTAATACAGTTTCTTGAGGTGTAAAACCTCTGTGTTTGAATGATCAAGGCTAAAATTTCCGGTCAAAATAAGCAAGTATAACAGGCTAGTAGCTAAATACATGTGGTTTACTACACAAGAAGTAGTTGACAGTACCAGAGCAAAATAAGAAAATCCATTATATTAAAAAAGTGGCATGTACAGGAACTTTCATATGTGCTATCAGTGGTATATAGGAAACATTCATAAAGATTGACACTTGAGTTCCTGCAATGGGAAATCCAATAGAGCAATTGATAAGCATGCACGTAGTGTGTGCAATGCACACACTACTAGATTGCCATCCCTATCCTTCAGAAAAGTTCTGCTGGGATTGAAACGTCATAGATTAGGCTAACGTTTGTGATTTTTTTGTGTGCAAATGTCCACGCGGTAAAAAAACGAATTTGTGGGTATACTTGCAGACCAAACCCCTTGGTGTCATCTGGGGCAAGTTTGGGCAGTACACAAGCGCCAACACCATCATGTTTGATGACCTACGAAGAAATTTCCTGATGAACCCACAGAATGGCCTCAAAGTAAGTTACCGGCTCCATTAATGAGCTGATGTTGGAGATAATGCGTTCTAGTCAGCTATTTAAAGCTATGGTCTTGTCGGTTGCATATAGATTCAGGTGAGGTTTATTAACAATTTAAGAGCTTCCCCAAAACTCTGGTTGGCCCTCCTTAAAAAAAAAAATCTTAGCAATTTTTCAGCAAATGATATCCGAGTCGTTGTAATTACATACACTTTCTCCAGCAGTTAAAATATTCCGAAATTGTGGAAAAAAAATATTTCCAGAATACATGTATTCCACAAATTTTTTTTTAGCTGAAATATTTTTAAAAAACCCATAATTTCTTGCAGGTTTCTTGAATCCAAGTCTCAATTACATGAAAATTCGACAATATGCAATTAACATCAACTTGTTATCTCCAGTGGGCACCATTACTTGAAGAGTGGCCTCCGTAGGCCGGCGGCCTCCGTAGAAATTTAGTCTATATCTGTACCTCACTAGGTATTAGCCCCCAAAAAGTCCGTTACGTACATCACACAAGAATGAGCAATGACGCTATTTTTCAGAAAGCTTTTTTTTTTTAATCTGTCCCAGATCCGGCCGTTCCGGCAGGCCCACAAGAACCGTGACAAGGACAAGGAGTTACTGAGGCTAGCTAGGTACTTGGAAGACATTGCTGACTTGCCAGACCTCAGTCACCTCAACCACAGACATTGGGAATCCTACACACCACCCAAACCCTCATGAACCTCAGCAAAACAGCCATTTTTACCCACACTGTAAACATAAAAGACCCAATGTTAGGGGTGTAAACATTTATCAATGTATTGAAAATTGCAATGCAAGGATTTTAACGATACAGCATCACAGTACAGAATCTGTTGCAATAAACTTTCATTGTCCTTTCTGCAGTTAGGGTTTTGAACACTGGAATTTCCCCTTTTATTTCCAAAGCAAGGTTCTTGGTATATTTGTATCTTCACAACATGCTTTATGTTTTTCATTGTAAATTTTAGAGTACCTCAGGCCAAAAAGGGGTCACATGAATGTCAATACATGTATTGTGGCAAACGTCAATATGTGTGGTTAAAGGAGCACTTTTGAGGGAATGTGCCATTTTGGACTTGGAATGTGATACTTGGAAAGATTGCAAGAAAATAGTATGAACGTTCGCACAACTGTACCTTGAAAATGTCTGTTTTCATGTAATTACCACATGAGGAAATTTTGGGGAACAAAATTATCCCCAAAATTTGAGCCGTTGGAGCGACAGTCAACAAACGTGTTCTTTTCAAACCATTCTTTAGTTGTGTGTGCACTATAATCACCACATGTATAATTCTGACGCTAGAGTGGTACCTGATATCTCAGAGTATATTGTCAAATACATTTTATGCGGCACCAGTCTTTTGTGGACAGTTAGGCTTGAAATATGTGCATTATGTACACAAGGCCAAGTACCGCTGCCATGGCAGATGTAAACAAACAGGGTGTTTTTTGTTTTTTTTTATTTCCATAAATGTCAGACATTATGTGGATTTTCTATGATGGGACCTTTGATATATAAGTCGACAGTCTACAACATGAAATATTTGTGAAATTTGACCGAATGTACATCTTCAAAATTTGGAAAAATACCAACACAGATTTTTTTAGTCAGTTCCAAGATCGAGAGAGGAGTTCATGATAATGAGCTGTAGTAACACGTCTGAACAGTTGAGGCTGAAGAAAATATGCATGGTTTCTTGAAGATGATAAAACAGTGACAACGTTCCTTTTCATCAGGAATCAAGGACTTTGAGCAGGATGTTTCATTGATGTCTTTTTCACTTTGTTTAGGTCACAAAAAGAATGCTTTCATTCTTACACAGACTTCTTAGTCCGAGTCAGTTTTATCTATTACAGTGATGATGTTGTCAGTCAATGCTTGATCATAATTGCATTTGTTCTGTTTTGGAGGTTAAAAAGAGCATTTGTGGTCAGCAAATCAGAGAATTTGATGCTCTAACCAACTTCAGGAAAAATTACCTGGAGATTAATAATTTAATAACAATTATCAAGCAGTCTTCAAGATTTTACTGTTATCTGCTTGACCTTTTTTTAAAGTAAATTATTGCCATGGCTTTATATATAAGTGTGTATTATTTTGTCAACAGTTCATCAGCACAATTAGTTTTGGTGGGTTTTTTTTGTAAAATATGTTCATTTTTCAAACAAGGAAATTACCACTGTAGTTAATAGAAGTATGTCATGCACAAATTGGACATGGTCAAAGAATAAATACAATATATTTTCTTTGTGCAGCGATGGATCAGCGTCTATTTCCAGGAAATAAATGTTGTTTAGCCAGTGGGGTACACTTAAGTTAACTTAAGATAAATCATCATAACAACAGAACATTAATATTTGTTTTCATTTTATTTCCCATGATTAAGACATTGTCATTTTTCTTTTCATATTATTTCATAGCAGTAGTTGCATCTCCAAAGTACTTATCTCATGGATATTATTACACAAATAATTGAAAATGAGAAGCAACTTTGTTGAAATGAAATAATACATGTACAAACCATTTAATGCACATGAACTTCATTTACAATCTATCAATTTGTATGATATTTTACAATCTATCAATTTGTATGATAATGGTCAGTCTGCATACCGTGCCAATCATAGCGTTGAGACCCCGATAGTTAATTTATCTAACCACATTTTGTCAGAAATGGATGTCGGTAGACTTACAGCAGTCGTTCTTCTGGACTTATCCGCAGCGTTCAACACGGTCAACTACGACATACTTGCAAACATTATGTCATCTTTTGGTAGTTGTGATCGTGCTCTTGCTTGGTTCAAGTCATACTTGGGTGATCGTCATCAGCTGGTATGTATCAGTAACGCCAGATCCCATATAGTTGAACTGTAACATGGAGTTCCCCAGGGATCTGTCAGTGGGCCATTGTTGTTTACCATCTATCTCAGTGGTCTGAAACATGTCTTGGAATCTCATATATCAGTTACCACTGCTATGCTGATGATGTTCAACTCTTTGTGCCATTTGCACCACATCACGCCTCTCCAGACTCTCCAGAAAATTGAATCATGCATCAATGATGTCAGTGCATGGATGAGTTCTAATTCTCTTAAACTCAACACTGATAAATCTGAACTTATAATGTTTGGGTCAAAGTCACAACTTGCCAAGATCAATGTCCATGGTTTCGCCATCCACAATTCGCCTGTTAATTTGTCGGCGACTTGTCGAAATCTGGGAGTCACCTTTGACTCACTTATGTCAATGTCTCATCATGTTTCTAACACATGTAAATCTGTAAGATTTCAACTTCGTAACTTGGGTTTAATTCGGAAGTATCTAACCCGCTCAGCAACAGAGAAACTTGTTCACGCCCTCATTTCATCTCGGCTGGATTTTTGTAATTCCCTGTTGTATCAGCTTCCCCGTAACCAATTTGCTCGCTTACAAAGACTCCAAAATTCTGCTGCTCGAATTGTGACCCTGACACCCTCTAGAACCCATATCACCCCGATTTTGCAGTCTCTGCATTGGCTCCCTGTTGCTGACCAAATTAAGTACAAACTGTTACTGCTTGTTTTTTATTGCCTGCATGATTCAGCTCCTGAATACAACATAGACCTATTAACTCCATCCAGGCGATTGAGATCTTCTGATGCTTCTTTGCTGGTTGTCCCTCACACTCACAAATCTTGGGGTGATCGATCATTTTCTTACGCAGGTCCTCATCTTTGGAACAAACTACCCCTCGCCATTCGCAATATCTCATCGCTTTCTGAATTAAAAGTTGCCCTGAAGATATTTGTTTCAGACCACTCAGAATATTCTTGTCAAGTTAAATTTAATTGTTTTGTTATTTCTGATTTGATATAATTTTTGTATTGCGCCACGAGCGTCATTTATGGCGGATACCAGCGCGGAATAAATTGCCGTTATTATTATTATTATTATAAAACATCTGTAACTGTAATGTTTAAATGCAAGACAAGTTCCCAATATACATCTTAGCATGTCAAAGCAAATCCTTACTTGTTCCATAGTTGTTAGAACCACATCCATTGTATGGGGACCAAACTAAAACGTTCTGGGGCCAGGCAAAAGTCCCCTCAATTTGGTTCACATTTCCCTACCGACTTCCTATTAATGCGGTCCAGCCAAGGCACAAGAACCCGCATGGCAACAGCTCACCTACAGAGGGCCAACCATTTGTTGGGCAAAGCCTCTCCATGCCCGGTACACATGCACCTACTCCACAGGGTCAACAGATGAACAGTGCTTGTGGACCAATGAAAAAATGCACCTCGCTTGCCCTTATTGCAAAGCTATACTGGGACAAAGTGGTGTGTGGAGTTGATATGCTTACAAGGCTAAATATGTAGTACAGTGTTTTTTTATGCAAATTCCTGTTTAACTATTTAGTGATCATAGCCGACTGAACCAAAATGCCCGTAGCGGCCACACACTGGCAGCATTGCCAGCTTGTTCTTGTTTTGTTTCGAAACAGCACATAAATACTTCAAGGTAATTGAGGTTAAAAAGCTTTCCAAAGATTTCAGTTTATGTATAGGCACAGATTTAGCCACATGTAAGGAAGTCTTTATACAAATTGTGCACTCTGAGAAGCGTGTCAGCACAGTCTAACCAGAAGTGTCAATTTCTAATCTATTATCCAAGTTTGTTTAAAGTGACAAGGGCGTGCTTGCCAGTTGCATAAGTTGATCTCAAATCTCAAGTCAATCGGTGGCATCCAGTTTCAAGTCCAGAGACAATCTATTCATATGAACTGTGACAAAGGCTTCCTTTGTCATTATTCACGTCCTTTTCCTTGTGATTGACTCAATTACAACTCTGATATTAAGACTGGTTCATAGCATCATTGCACTGATGGAATGAAGCAGACATCCAGCATGCAGAATTTTGAGCGGCAGGTCGGGCAAGGTGACTTGCTGCCTAGCCAGGACTCTGGCTGGCTCTGGTTCTGCCGACTAGCAAACCACTTGCACATGCACTCCAGGCACCACATGGGACGACAGAAGCACTGGACACAGTCGCCTCCTTGCCCCTCCTCGCACAGCTTGACCAGCTTGACATTGGAACGGGTCTGAAGGCAACCAATGCAGTTGTCTGGAGCCTGCGAAGAGAAGATAGAAGTCAGTTAACCTTTGTAGTTTATTTTTAAGATAAGGTTTACCTTATTAAACCCTGCTAGACAGTTAGGTTCAACAAATCTGCTGGATTATTGTGATTTTTTTAAGTAATCCCCCTTCCTCCTCGCACATACTTCACTGTTCTGAAATTTGCCCTGGTGCAAAAAATAAGGTGCCAGAAATTACTTAAAACTTTCAGTTACAAGAATGATGTCAAATTCATTTTCAACAAACATGATCATTACAGCATCCAAGATACTGTAGTTTTGATCCATGATCTAACAACAACCTTTCATATATTTCACAAAGAGAAAATGATAAGACATATTATAATAATTGTATTTTAAATTTGAACAAAGAAATTGACTGGAGCGGGTTTGAACCTGTGACCTTTGGATTGCCGTTCCGGTGCTCTACCAACTGAACTACACTTACATTTATGTACACTTACACTTGGGGTTGATGGGTGAAAAGTAAAATGGGTGTAAACTATCCAGCCCTATGTTGGTGGATCCCCATTTTGTCAATATTCTTTTTCAAGGGCGCTATAAACCCGTATGCCATGTTGTCAGGGATCATGCCCAAGTCATAATGCTAGCAGCATTAGCAATGCTGCAAACCTGGGAAATGACGATGTGAATTTGGCGTGATCCCTGGTTACATTGCATACATGTATATGGGTTTAGGGCTTCTGACTTGCACCCTTTGAACAAGAACATTGACAAAATGGGGATCCGCCAACATATAAGTAGCACCAGAGCGGCAATCCGGAGGTCGCAGGTTCAAACTCTACTCCTGTCAATGTCTTTGTTCAACTAACAAAACCCAAATTTATGGGTGAATGGTTGCCACTTACCAGTGATCCAGGGGCTGGAACAAAAGGGGGATTACGGTGCACCTGTTGTCTGAATGCCTCTAGGAAGCGATCCGTAAGTGTCTGCTGAATGACTACATTGCGGGCATTGACCACAGGGACCGTCAGCTTATCCCGTAGGTCCTTGTAATCTGACGACAGTAATCTGGCAAAGAAAACAACCGTGGGTTTATTTTGAATTGAATACGTGGGACAGTTTACCCATTCCCAGGTTGAGAGAGAGTCACATCGGGGGTTTTACATCACTGATTGAACATTGCTGAGAAGTATTTCAAACTGGCCAGTAATAAACGTGGCCCCTTAATCAGGACAACAAATTTCTGCATTCATTACCAGCTGCTACATGTACATCAGATTCGAACCAGCCAACCGATCCCGCAAGGTCGTTGGTCGAGTGGTAAGACATCTGCACTAGAAAGCAGGAGGTCGTGGGTTTGAGTCCCACCCGAGTGATTTTTTCCAACTTTCACTCAGGAGGCAACACACTGAGTATACAGTGTTTATACATTGGTGTGGGGCAATAAACCTAATGTTGATCCTTAATCATATTTTGTCCATCCAAAACACAAAGGGACATCTCAGTAGATAAAACACTGCTTTGAATTGCATGTTTTTACACTTTTTTAATGATTAGGAATCCATGAAGTTATGTAATCTTCTTCGTTGAAATAATGAGTGGTTCACTTAGCACTGGTAAATAACGCCAAGTTTGACTCTGTCATGTCTGTTGGATCCAGCATACAACAGAAAAACAAGGCACAGTTGGATTCTGTTGGATTGAGCATGCCAGTCATTTTATATGTTCAGGTACTCAACAAACTTGGCAAGTTGGGTTGTACGGGAATGTGTTGGATTGAGCCAAAAACTCAATTCAGGATTTATCAGGTTAGTCCTGGGGAACTACTAGGGGGTTAGGTTCAATACATGAACAAATGTGATATAATCTGAAGATATGTTAAACAGGACAAGTACCTGATTTCAAAAGGTTTGATGTGGGCATTGGCACTGATGACTTGCATGGCCAAGTACTGAACCCCAGCCCTGCTCTCATGTGATATGGCATGTTCCTCCGTCCATAACAGATTCAAGTGGCAGTCTGGCTGGTAAGCCACATTGAGACCGTAGGCCCAGGTTTTCATTACCCATGAGTCTGTGACAATCACACGCATGTCTGGTGGCCCTGTGGTGAATTTGTCAATGCGTCGGAACTCTTGATTGATCCTTGCAGCCACGTGAGTCCATGCGCTGTTGTTGCCTTGGAAATGCAGGGCCTTGGCTATGGGATGGTTGCCCCATTTGTTCCTGGACCAATAATAGCAGAGTAGCCAAGTGGACAGCCAAATGGCTGTCGAGGCAACTAGGTATGTCTGCCACCACAGACCCAGTTCATGGATTAGAAACAGGTCCAGTTTGGGACAAGCAAATCCAAGACCAACAAAGTAACCTGCAAGAATAATCAACTATTTGAATTAGTGAAGCAATGAGATCTCACTTCAAATTTCATACAAAAAAAGTATTGTTCAACATTTTGCCAGCAAGCATGGCAAAAAAACCGTGACGGCAAGCATTTTAAAATTTGAAACTTCTAAGACTAGAATACATGTACATTGTAGTGCATTTCAAACTCTATTAAAAGACGGACATTAGTCTAGTGGCATAATATTTGCAACAAAATGTGGGGACATCTACAATGTACAAGGCTCTTTTGACACACTTAAAGCTGTAGTCCATCATTTGCAGCTATCCAAAAAGTGACTGACGTAATTATTGTTGAAAAACGTACTTTTTTGTTGTAAATTCCGTTTGTAGTTCTTTCTTTTTTATTCAGCGAAGCGCGCGCAAGCATTAACACGACGCACATGCATGGTTGCTATAATTTGTCGGATCAGTGTGTGACATCGCGTAGCTGCATTCGGCTCAGTAAGAACGTGACTCGGACGCTGAATTCAGGCCCAATTCAAAACATGATTCAGCAGCTTTTGATTTGAAATCGAGATCCTAGAATGCTGTTCGAATATACAGCTGAAGCCGAGCTGAAACTTCATCAGGTTAGTTGTTCAGCACCCTTCTTCAGAGTTTGAGTAGGTGTGTTGCTTCAAACGAACAAAATGCACAAATTACAAATGATGGACTATACCTTTAAATCATGCAGTAGTGAAACAAGCTTGGGTGTCTTTTTCTTCTTGACTAGCCCAGTTTCCACTTAATAAATCTTTTTAATTTGAAATTCTCAGTCAGTATGAGAGCCCAAAAGTCTTAGTTTGTACCCAAGGGTAGCGCAGAGTGGAGTGCTGCTGCAGCTGTGGATTTCTTGATGTGGTACTGAATCAACTGCATGTCTTCGCTGCCCAGCCATGCCGACAGAACATTCTGAAGAGTCAATCCAGCTGATCGCACCTCGGTGGGGGGAAAGACAAGGCACATGCAGATCAGCAGATATACCAGAGTGAAGATAAACTCCTGCGACATCTCCACCATATTGGCCAGCTCAATTTTGACTACTGTCAAAAGAACAGAAAAAAATCATAAGGCTGAGTAAAGAAATTGACTGGTCAGGAGTGGGATTTGAATATATCCCTTTATAGACTCTTTGGTGAGGAAAAACCTTGTTGTGCGTTAATACAGACCTTGCTCACCAGGCAAAATTTCTTGTTCCTGAAACAGGGAAAAAATGACATGATTTGGCCTGCAAAGGGGGAATGATCGAGGCATTCACAGACATATTCACAGGTATTTACCCCCAAATATTTTGAAAAGACTGCCCTTTTCCATTAAAATGCCCTTTTTTCACCAGCGCCTACCCCCCCCCCCCAATATCTTTAAGAGTACCATTTTTTTCTTAACAAGTTTGAAATATAGAGAAACCCCGAGTGAAAGTGGTAGTGCATTTGAATATATTTGTGCATGATTTTGCGGCCAATATGATGTGTAATAGATACTGGAGACATGACAGTAGAGTGGTTGTCCTTGATGGAGAAATTAGAGGCACAATGTGGGACATTGGGGGGGGGGGGGGGGGGGGGGTTGGTGGGTGAGTTGTTGAAATCTCTGGGGCTGCTTGCTGTAGTATAGTCGTGTTCCCTAACGTGGCGCACTTCAAAGCTTACCCGACTTTCCTTGTGTAGTGTTGCCAAACCTCTTTGTTGACAAACCTCAAATTCATGCAGTAAAATACTAGTACTGTTACCTTATTAATGCTTGCTATTTAACCTCTGTGAACAATTTCGGGTTTCATAAAATTTTATCCAAAATTCAAAAACGGTGGCGTCCGGAAATTGGGCACAAATTGACGGGGTGTTCCCTAATGTGGCGCACTTGAATAAATCTCGGAAAATTCCAAATTAACATTTAAGAATTTCTGTAAACTTGATAAATTCTGATAAATAATTAATATCTCTACTTACATACCCAGCCAGATGTTTGTCAGAAAATAATTTTCTTGTTTTTCGGGGCATTTTCAAAGGGTTCACTTTGCACTTGAAAATAAAATCGGAAATCACGCCAAAATAAATTTTTCTTCTAACTTTGTTACGGGTAAATAAACTTGCGATTTATGAACAGGAGTGTTTAGAACTTGATGAAATTTCACTTTCTGTGAAATTTCAGTTAAAACTTTTGCTCTAGCTAGGTGCTACAGGCGAAAAATCAAAGTGCGCCACATTGGGGGCCGCGCCACGTTAGGGTACATCAACAATATAACTTTGTTTTCATTGTCCTGTCAACTTTCTGTGCTTGGGTTTGGGTTAAGGATATTTTGGTACATGTAGTCATGCAGAGAGTCACTTATCTGGCTAAGCTTCTTGTCCAGTGGCTCTAGGAGTATGTTAGACCCGTGAACGTGGCTTGTAAACTACGCCACGCTGTTATGTATTTTCGAACCTGGCGAAATTGTCCCCCTCCGTTACACACACTGGACGTTATTTTGCCCATGTAATAAGTACTCACATATGAAGCTGTCTTGAAATCTGTTTGTACGTCAAAACTTGCATTTGACGAAATTTAAGGAAAATTCTGGCCCCGGTTCATGAAGTCCTGCTAGCTGGCATTGCGTTTTATTGTACCGTCCTGTTTCGTATGATTCGACGGCTGTTTACTGTCGCAGCTAAGAGACATCGTTTTAGACAAGTTTCACGTCCTTTCCTCTCTCACCGCACCGCACGCGTGGGCGCACACGTACACGAGATGAGCCGAGCAGCCAATCCTCTGCGGGTTTTTTTTTTCGGGGTTGCGACATGAAACAGCCGTCAATCTGTCCAAGCGACAGGAAGCAGACGGGTAGCTCAGAGGGCTCCGATAATTTTGCACGCAAATGACCCGGGTACTCGTCCGGGGTTATTTGTCAGGGTCACTTGTCCTAATGTCAGGTTAAAATCTAATTTCTACACGTTCGTAGGGGTCTTTACACAGCCTGAACAATCGGACAGGCAAATTTAGATTTCTAGGTGAGTACTCAACACCCATACGGAATTGTATGGCGGATCAATTTCGCTAGGTTCAAAAACACACAACAGCGTGGCGTTGTATACAACGCCACGTTCACGGGTCTAGGACTAGGAGTATGTCATTCATCTCGTCAGAAAAAAAATTATTGGAGACTAATCCAAACGAGGTAGGTTTTAATTTGAAGCGATCCGGAACCAGGAAAAATCCGGAACTAGTAGTAGGCTAGGATAGGAAAACGACTGTACTCCGTCTAGCCGGTCAATGCATGCGAGTTGCGATGCGTTTTTCTCCGGCCTAGCCCCACTAGTGTGGCCGCGGTATGCTGCGCTGAACCTCTGGCCACACACCGTGGTACCGCGCACTACTGAGGACGAAGTTTTCATAAATTTTACAGGCAGTTTCTTACATATGGTTGTATTCTATGATGTCCCATCTATCACTTCTGGGATGCTTAGGTGTAATGATGTTCAATTTTCCGAGATATTTTTGAATCTTTCTGGAGCCCATATGCACCCGTGAAACGTCTGGTGATGGCAGCCATTTTGAATGTGACAAGAGAGATGACCTCAAGCTGTGACGTCGCGTTTATGCAAATTCTTGTCGAGCGAGGGCGCGAGTTGCAAATGTGACGGCTGTTTCCTGTTCCAATTAAAAATGAAAATAATACCCTGCGTATGCACTGCGCGGGCATCGATGTCGACGGCTTGGACGACGCGTGCGACACAGGAAACAGCCGTCGCATTTGCAACTCGCGCCCTCGCTCGACAAGCAATTTGCATAAACGCGACGTCACAGCTTGAGGTCATCTCTTGTCACATTCACCTGATATGGGCTCCAGAAAGATTCAAGAATATCTCGGAAAAATTGAACATCATTACACCCAAGCATCCCAGAAGTGATAGTTGGGACATCGTAGAATACAACCATATGTAAGAAATTCCCTGCAAATTTTATGAAAACGTCCTCAGTAGTGCGCGGACCACGGTGTGTGGCCTTGGGTTCAGCGCAGCATACTGACGGCCACACTAGTGGGGCTATCTCCGGCCCAAATTTACATTTAAAAAAATGCAATAGTTAGGCCCATATCTATATACAAAATTAAACGATGTTTTAGTGTGCTGCATTCTTTGCAAACCTTTTCATGGAAGATTGTTGCTCTCATCGGTACTATACCGTACCCGTGAACGTAACTTGTTGATGCGTATCGAACTGTTTTGGTCGGCAGCGCAAGGTCGGCAGCGGCAGTGTAATGTTCAATCATCTTTTTTCTCAGTTTTGTATAAAGCGCGCCCTCATTAGGTTGATTGGCGTACGGCGTTCGTGCGTTCCGGGCTCCCCTCGAAAAATAGATTTCTGAATGAGACATATTTAACATCAGTGTTGTAGGTCTCGAGACCGGTCTCGGTCTCGGTCTCGGTCTCGAGACCACTTTTTGCCGGTCTTGGTCTCGGTCTCGGGAGCTGTGGTCTCGGTCTTGGTCTCGGTCTCGGTCCCCTTTGGTCTCGATATATTGGCTGGTCTCGAGTCGAGACCAGCCAAAAAGTGAGGGGGTGGGGGCGGATTCCGCCCCCGGCCCTTTTTGGTTAAGTAAATAATCAGTTTAGGGCAAATGTGACTGCAGTGTGATGCTAATGGACATGTCTCTCTTCACTTTCTAGTGAGTGAGGCATAGTCCAATAACCATTGCTCTTCTTCTTATTTCTCGCTTTTATTGTGGGATGATATGTTGAAACAAGCACTTTATAGCCATCCTCATTGATTCCAAATACAACTGAGATTTAAATCTTATGAATCAAGACTGAAACATTATTTTTACCGTCAGATTTTGTATTTTGAATAATTATGGGGAACAATTCAACTCTTTTTCCCTAGAAATATTGGTGATTTTTTTTTCGATTTTCCTCTTAAATTTTTCCTTTATTCGTGGAGGCGGGAAAACGTTTTTTTTAAATTATATTTATTAATTGATATTCATCAATTCGTAGACCGTTAAATTGGTATTAGTGGTGGACAGCTGAATTTTGTGATCTCTTTATTAAAATAGTCACGACTTGGGAATAGTATGCAAATTACGTGAAATGTTCACAGTTACTACTCAATAACATGTTCTTTATCCCAATTATATTTTTTACAAAATGGAGCGTGCCATTTTTTTTTTTTATCATACGGTCACTTTCTTTTTGACTCGCCATGTATTCATCTTTTCATCTCTGATAAACACAAATTGGGCTACTGCCATGGTCACACACAAATAGAGTCTGATTGCCTGCCTCGTCTCCTTCCTAAATGTCAATTGCGTTTGCATGAGTCGAGAAGACTTTTGTTTCATTAATCGCTATGTGATGTTTACGGCCATCACAATAAGCGATTAGAATATTGGCAATGTCGAACTTGTCACTAAAATATTCAAGTAAATTGCAAAGTAGCCGATGCGAGCGATACGCTGGCACGGTACAAAACACAGAGAGGCGTGCGCACTGAGCCATGCATCCTAAAAGAGCATCTCGCCCACCACATTCAGTTTGTTACAGCGCCCTTCTATTGTGTCGGTCATATTATCTAAAAGGCTTATGACGATGATGACGGCGGGTAGATGAACAGAAGATAGATCAGGCAAATATGGTTCATCGATCTACTATAGTATATGTAACGTTATTGACATTAAACAAACAAGTGGCATTACATTTCAGCCTTAGCCAGGCCTTCTTCAGAGGTAAATGACAGAGGAACAAGAAACAAACATGTAGGGGACACACAAACATGCAGGGTTGGAAGGAGAATCACAAAGAGGGATGGGGGGGGGGGGGGGCAGACCAATCCATATCTGGCTACCATAACTCATTTTTTTGGTCTACATGTACAAATCTATATTCCATGACTGAAATTTTAAAAAATAAATCAATATTTTCTTGCTCCAAATTATTTTCGAATCAGGTTTACAAGGAGGTCCAATGTAAAATTAAAGTTGCATTTAAATATCCGTTAGTGGTCATTGCTGAAACCAAGGGCTGGCTCTGGAGTTTAGGGTCCGAGTTCCTTTAACAGGTGAAACATCCACCTTTAACTTTTTACTTTTGTCAAGTTTCAACATGTTCAAGTTTTGCAAAAACTAGTACAAATTGTCGTACTCCTAAGTTAGAGTTTCTTCATCAGATTTTCACTTTATAGTAGTTAAACAATATTTTTTTAATTGATTGTGACAAATTCTGTTGCCATGTTGTAATTCATGGCATGAAGCAAACACGAAGAGCACTCGCATGACACAATTAAGCAGGTACAAGTGATTCCTAACTTTCAATCACTTCCTTCACATCCCCATGAACATCAACATCTCAAGGACAGACTGTTCGGCTGTCATTAGTGTCTTGTTGTTTATTTAGATTATTGTTATTTATTATCCGCGGTCTCGGTCTCGGACCATTTCGGTCTCGGTCCGCCTTGAAGGGGCTGGTCTCGGTCTCGGTCTCGGTCTCGCAGCTTCAGGTCTCGGTCTTGTCCTCGGTCTCCGACTATCCGGTCTCGACTACAACACTGTTTAACATACTAAAAAATCCACAGACGTTTAATAATTGAATTATTTCTTCACAAAATTAGAATTACTGGCAGTCAGGCAATAATTCGGTTCCAGCGGAAACGGGCTCATTTGTGAGCAAAATGTGTATGAAAGCCATTTTTTACAGACGGTATGCGGATGGCCCAAATCGCGAAATCCAGAAGGGTTAGGCCAAAAAAAAAAAAAATAAGTCGGTCTCTGGTCAGCGCGCGCGTCGATTTTAATCATGCGCGTCGATCTTTTTTTTTCTCCAAAATGTTCCGCGGTAGCTCCAACAGCGCCCTCTATTTCCGCACCTCCTCAATTTTTTTTACCAAAGAGCACCAAGGAATGGGAAATTGCACCAAGGCAAATGATCGAAAGCACCAAGGCAAATTATGGAGGACACCAATATACATGAGGACACAAAAAAAACAAAATAGTACCCACCTTGTCTGTACAATCCAAGCTTGAAGAAAAAAAAAAAAAGCAAAAAAAAAAAAAAAAAGCCGCGTGGCCGCGTCAATTCCAGAACTTTGGTCTGACCAGAGACCGAATATTTTTTTTTTGGCTTTAACCTTACAAATTCATTCGTAATTTAAGAAGAAAATCAAATGTCATTGTACTATCACAATCCATTATGAGTAATCCAGTAATGACAAGTAGTACCATTGGTGAAAACGCGGAAACGGACCACTACCTACCAATTCAATTAATGAGAAAAAGGTGGGATGATGGTTTAAGCCTATCACCCCAGTATAGTAGTGGATATAGTGGGACCCCCACCTCCAACCCCCCCCCCCTCCATTCAACCGCTGACTAATGTGACGATACCAGTAAAATGGGGCAAAAATAAATAATGGAATGCTAAAGTTCCTAAATCTATTCTCTAATCGCCTTAAAATGCAGAAGATGATCGTTGATTTCAAAACTTCAAAACGGATAGCGTCGGCTGCATGTGGTATGTACGGGTGGGTGTTTATGTTCCGGCGATATCTCAAAAGCCAATAAGAATATTCTGGGGAAAACCCACGGAATCAGGCAGGGATCGAAAACCCAATCCACATATTGGCCCAGGCGTGATTCGAACCCGGGTCACAGCGATGGAAGGCGAGCAAAGTACCGCTACGCCAACCTGACTCCCCTTTAGTAAAAACTTGTTGGAGTGTCTACATTTGCTAGTGAATTCAGTTCTGCTGTTCAGTGTGGTGGATTTGTCGGCAGTAATGATGTAGTATTTCTCCCAGAGGCATAGTTGGCATCTTTTGCCTTTGTTTGAGTAAGAGTTGGCTTGTCTGAGGATTTTCCACTTGATGTCGTAAGTGATGTTGTTGTCCTTCAAGTGTCAGATGTATACTTGCTGAGTTCCGTGCTTTTTTCTTGTGCGCAAGTTTGAACGACGATTGTGGTTGTTCCATCTCGTTTTGAATCCATGTATGTTTTGTGTCTTGGTCGCTAGTTACACTTGCTTGGTAGACGGTGCTTTTTGTGAGGCAGTTTCCAGACAGAGGACATTCTGTTGGTTTTCTGCAGTTACAGTTTTTGGTAGTTTTTTGGTCCACTTTTTGGAGGATGGATTTATTATGGGCATTGATTATTTGGCCGATATTTTCCATACAGCTGTAGCTGACTTTGACATTGTTGCGGTTGAAGATTTTGTGGAGCTGGCTGCCTCTAGGGAAGTGTTTGTCGATCAGTTGTAAAAAACTTTTTGCCGACGTTGGTGGAGACATATTTTTTGCTGTAGGGTGGTTTGAACCAGGTTATTTTGCGGCTGCGGTTGCGTTTGTTTTTCTTGTTGTTTTCTGGGTTGAATGTTAGGTCTTGCTTGTGTCCTGCTCTATTTAGCGCCTCTTCGAAGTTTTTCTTGGAGGCGTTGAATTGCGACTCATCACTGGAGATGCTGGATAGGCGTTTGTTGATTGAGTTGGGTATGGCCTCTATCATAATGATGGATTCCGGGTGGTTTGAGTGCGTGTTGACATATTGCGTATGTTGTTTGGCTTTTCGTACGGTCGATACGAGCCGTCGTTCAAGTTGAGGGTGACGTCCAAGAAGTTAGCTACTTTGAGGTTTTGTTCTATGGTGATTCTGAGGCCGAGTTTTTTTTAATTCCGAGGTAAGTCTCTTAGGACAAAAAAAAGTCTCCGGTTTCTGGTATGGAGCTTGCCCAAAAAGTGGTGCGGCGACGCGGCTTTTTTTTTTTTTTACCCGATTTTTTTGCTTCAAATGTCGGCTGATGACTGCAAAATGGTGCCCGACTAAACTTAATGCAAATATATGGGAGTCCAGAGAGGCCACATAAAGCTTATTCTCGACCATATAAACCCAATCTAAAAACACGTTAAAATTGTGCAGCAGCAGGATTCCAGTCAAACCAGTGAGTTTGGCGGTTTTGAGACATCATCTTTCATTGAAAAAAAACCTTTTTCATTTTGCCGACGCGCATGGCTACGGCGACGCGAGCGCATACCAGAAACCGGAGACTTTTTTTTTTGGCCTTAGCGACTCTGTTGGTTTGAGATGGCGTGTGGTTACGGAGGATGGCCAAACCGTCATCTCTATACAGTCCAACTTCACCGTTGAAGGTTTGCTTGATTTTGTTGAGCACATATGAACCTACAAGCTCGCAAGTTCGGCTCCGTCATAGGACCCCATGGTGAAATCAAGAGGTGGGGCGGGTTGGATTTGTGCTATGGAGAGTCATCGTGGAATAGCAATTTTTTTCGCGTGCATGATGATATGTTTTTCCTCGGGGGTTATCGTGGCATAACCGCATGCAAAGTCAATAGCTTCTTGTAAA